ATACAAAAATAATAATAATAATACATTTTGTTGTTCCATCTGGAACACATACCTTGATTTGGTGACAGCTCAACACTTTTTGGCAATTGTAGGCGATTTCGACGGCATTTTCGATCGTGTACGACGGATTTTGAATATTCATTTCGAGAGTATCGCTTGCTGTACAACGAATTTATTTTCGTTTATTTTCAACCTTGATTGCATTATTTTTGATGTTTCATAAATCAATCAACGTGCTTACGGGATTCAATGTTTCGCTTCTTTTTTTTCTCTTTCAAAACAATTTTCTTCTTTGTCATGCAGCAGCTTTATTTTTGTGTACTGTTCAAATGTTACCGTTATATTGTAGCTACGACAAATTTTGCCAACAAAAATACGCCAGCGCTCCTATTTTTGTCGAATTTCAATATTATTGAACAACGTCACCAACATTGTTGCTTGTCGACTTTTTTTTTGTTCGTTCAGTTCGTCATCATTGCAAATGTACAATTTTCTGTTCATCATTCACCTTTTAAAAACTCTCTGCTCCTTATAAATGGAAGGAAAATGCTCATCACTTGTCGCAGTGTTCGATGTCGAAAATGGCTCGTTGAAATGAAAGCATCAAAAATATGTAAATTTCTTTCTCTTTTGAAATCTGTCCAATTAGCACGAAATGCATTTTTCCAATCATTGACATTGTTCGTTGCGCTTCATTCGCCGTTATTTTTACACAAATTACCTTCCGTGATGAGCCGCGGTGGGCGGTAAAAATATCATTCATTTTCTCATTACTATTTTCGGCCGCATTTCGATTTTCCCACTATGATTTTTCGAGCGGCTTTTTCAAAATATGACCCGCCGATGATTAACCGGGAAAATCATTTTGATTGATAATTGTCTTATGTCAACGGTGCCGTCACTCAGTGCACACAAGTAATCAATAATTAATACAACGATTGAAGCGTCCAATCAAACCGAACAAACTTTCAATAAACTGTCAAATGCCGATGATTAAGAAGACATTCCGGCTTTGTTGCTTTCTTTTCCCGTCGCATTCTTGCACTCAGTTCGGTGTGCGGCAACAAACATTTATTAGCGTGTCAGAAACAAGCGTTTTATGCATAACATGTCATAAATTTCACATCACATGACAGAAGAGCACTAGGTGAATGTTGATGTTGTGTATTTATTTCGATTTCGGTGTGTACCGAGAGCGAGTGCGCGCGCGGCATGGCAAGCGGGAGGAAATTTAAGAAATGTATCTGTTTCATTGCATTCCCGATTCAAATCCTTCACGTTCTCACATTGATTTCACATTTTTAGCATAAGTCATTTCTCAAAATATCTATAAAAAATTGTGTGCGGCACAAGGAACGGATGAACAACAACAACAACAAGAAGATGAAGAACAACAGAAAAAGAACGCACACCGAACTCTTTTTCCCCTATTTATAATACCAATTTGCAGCCGTTTTTATTTTCATCAATTTTTCGAACGCTTTCGACTGAGAAAAAAAAAACGCCATATTAACCTTGGTTAATTATCATTTAACCGCTTGTAAGCTTGTTTGAATTGCGATCGGAAATTTTCTAGCCGGTGAATGTGTTGTGAACATTTGAAAAATGACTTAATCTGCCGCAGACGACAGAACGCAGAAAGAGAAACGGGTAACAGTCACAATCCAACATAAATATGTCGAATAGTGAGGCGGCCGGCGATCACAAACAGGGAAAACACATTTTCACGGTCCTATAGCATTCGAATTAACATTTAAGAGGCCATGTGTCACATGTGGGCATTTCAATTTACATTTCATTCGCTATTATTCATGTACCAAGAGTTCCAACAACCAACACTTGTGTCGTTTATTTTTCCACTGTCCGTTTGTCCGTTGTTGTCCGTTGGCATTTTGTGTGCGTGTGATGTGCTCTAATTATGAAAACGGTACAAATGCGACACATTGTCCGTTCGAAAATGAATTCCGATATTCAAGCGAGCGAAAGAAAAAAAGGAATCGTTTAAATGATTTTCATTCGCTCGATTTTCGAAGCATTTATCTTTCGGTCAGACGAAGAGTCTCATCTCACTTTTTCGCGCGCTCTCTCTCTCTCTCTCTCCCTCGTGCTGTGTGTGGACAATTCAGTGTTCCATTGTAGAAAACAGCTATAATACTATTGTTGAAGGTGTATTCGCCAATTTACGTCGTTGTGGTAACGCACAAAAATCGTTTGAATGCGTCGCACCGTGCGCTTTTTGCTTGGCTATACTTCATTTCGTTTCACTATATGCCGCATCACTTCGGCCACCATCAGCTTGATAGATATTCATTATGATCGGAATCGGCGCACACTCTTATTCACCACTTAGACACACGCACACTGAGAGAGAATGCCAAATTGAAAATTGCTTAACTGAGATTCGTATAGATTTGGCGTCCAAAACGGCACAGGGTGCGCTATTTTTGCAAACACACATTGATCAATTGAAAATCCTGAATGTCGTTGTGGTCGTGGCTGTGATTTTGGCTGCTGGGACATTTATGCGTCGACACACTCTTTGCCATCGCTCCGATTCAAAGTGGTTGAGATTATAAAAAGCGGCCAACGTTCATATTCATACCAGTCGATACGCAAACGGCCGCCGGTTCAAATCAATACTCTTAGCAATGGTTTGTTTTATTCCTACTTTTGGATTGCTTTAAGCAATTTAGATCCACGACAAAGCAACGACTTTTTTTTGGCTCAGTTCTTGAATAGATTTGTGCACAAATAAACTCATAAAGTTTATTTTTCGTTTTTTACACCGTTTTTTATATTTTCCTTTTTACCGAAGAAAAGATTGAGTTTTAGTTCAATTCCAGGATTAAATATTTATGATCAAACGAAAGATAGTTTGCCAAGCATTCTAGTGTAGTGATTTTTTTTTCTCACGCAAATTAAGAATTCCAACAATTTGGTTGTTTTGTTGCCAAATAATAGTATCAAATGAAAAATGAACATCGACGAAAGAAAAGAAACACAAGAAAGATATTTAAAGGAACTAAACTTAAATGTTTTGTTAAATAAATCAACTTAAGTAGTTCAGTTTGAATTATTTGAAGTATTTTTTGAGTTTTTTCATTCATTTTTTTTTGATTTTGGTGCTTTGCATTGACATATTTTGTGTATTGTGAAAATTCCGCAGGATGATGATGATCAAAAAGTTGCTATAATGCGCAAAGCATTCCAGATGTTTGACACACAAAAAACTGGTCTCATCGAAACAATCAAGATCTCAACCATCCTCAACACAATGGGCCAATTGTTCGATGATAATGAACTAAACGCACTTATTGATGAAAATGATCCAGATGGTGAGTTAAACAAGTGACCTTGACTACATTCTGGCTTTGAATAACATTAACAATGCATGACTTAGATGAAAAAAGAAAAAAAAATGAAAATCAGACTGATGAATTGTTCATTCATCAGTCATCATAATTTGAAAATGATCATTTAAATGATAAAATCACGAGTAGGAAAATCATGAGTTGTGAGTTGTCTTGTATGAATAGAATGGTGAATTAATAATAAATCCATATTCAGCTACCGGAAAGGTCAATTTCGATGGATTCACGAACATTGCCGGCCATTTTCTCGAGGAAGAAGATGCTGAGGCCATGCAACAAGAGCTCAAGGAGGCATTTCGATTATATGATCGAGAGGGAAATGGTTACATTACAACGAGTACACTCAAAGAGATTTTGGCCGCATTGGATGATAAGCTCAACAGTGCCGACTTAGATGGTATCATCGCTGAAATTGATACAGACGGATCGGGTACCGTTGATTTTGATGGTAAGTAACTTTATTCTTCGTTGGATATTATCCAATAGATTCCGATATTGAGAAGTATCAATCTAGATTTTTACGATGTTAAGTTTGATTCAGATTTCGAATAGCAGGTCAATTGAATCATTCTATACAACGAGCTATAAATTGTGCATGCAACATTTGATATTTCTTTAAATTTTACGATGAATTTTTTTTTTTAATTTTACAATGAAACAATTTTTATGGCCCATAAGACATGCCAAATTGCCACTGAATTATTCATCAATTTCACTCGTTTTTTTCCTCTCTCATTTCAGAATTCATGGAAATGATGACCGGTGATTAAGGAGCTTTTTGCACATCTTCTAATTTATACACAACAAATTTTCGATATTAAGTAACTCTATTTTCTATCTGCATTTTTGCACACATCACAATCAACCGATAACTTCGACATAAATTGAAATAGACGTTTTGAAATTTTATGTAAGGAAAACAACCACTGCTGCTACTACCGATTTTCACATGTAATTGGAAAATGCGAGATTTCAATATGTAGAATTTGCGCATTCGCCACCAAGTATTATTTTAACAAGGGGGAAAAAAGAAGAAAAAAAAGTTTGTTAAATTGTAAATACACAAAAGAATTCGTACATCAAGACAAAAAAAACTTCACAAAAATTGATGTTTGAACCAAAAAAAAAAAAAAAAATAACAAAATAAAACTCATTACACTTTATTAAATGGTTTTTTTTTTACTAAATTTTCATCCATTTGTATCAATCTCTTATCTTGTAATAAGAGCCTCTTACCATATACATGATTCATTGTCTTGATTGAAGGTGAAGTATCAACGTTGAACCTGAAACAAAAACCGATTTTGCGGTCGATCGTCTGCGACACACACACACTGCGCATTCCTTTGAAATAAAATTCAATTTTGTTCAGTCGATAAATTTTACCGTAAAAGTGATCGTTTGACATTTAGTGTCGCCAATCGTGCAATATTTTCTTGGCTGCCGTTTGCATCGAGTGTACGTTGTGGTCTCTCCATTAAAAATATATCACTGCGTGGCAATAACCTAATTGATTCAGTGTTTGAGCAGCGCGGAATTTATAATTACAAGAATAATTGCATAAATAAATCTTTGGCGTTTCATCAGACAATTTAGTTGGGCGCTGCGCGCAAGGAACAAAAAAGAGCACACAAACGGCGAAACAAATGAAACAGAGAGAATATCGATGGTGCCAAATTATTCGTTTGACGAACAACATAATCGACAGATAGTGTAAGTTCCTATGCCAGTTGCTGTCCCACGCTATAATTAGAACGTTAAATGTATTTTGGGCTACAAAGAGTGAAAGAGAGATGTTTTTTTGATTAAAAATTATCATTTTTATTAAATGTCACTTTTTTTATTTTATTTTTGTACACAATTTGCGTCCAATCGTTCTGGAAATTTAATGTTCGAATTCAACCAACTATAATATAAGTACATGGTCAATGGAATTAAAATCTATCTGCTCATCTCTTGGATCAGTTTATTTTTGTCTGTTATCTCTTGCATCTCATATTCAATTGCACTAAGTAGACATTTATGATACTACGACTGTTTTTTTTCTTCTTTTGTTTTAAGTTAAATTACATAAACATTTTACCACAAAGAAAAAAAATGAAAGATTTCAGCGCAAAATGCATCGCCGTTCTTCTCTTTCAATTCTGACTAGATCGATTCACTCACTCCGTCTTATGCTAAATATACTTTTAGTTCGCATTCCCTTCAAGGAAAAAAAAAATTGTGTCTTACAATTAGAAAATGACAAGATGTCTCCATGATAATGATAATAAATAGGATTAAAATACACATTATTCCTATGCAATAAATACTTAGAGTGATTCTTACAATTGGTTTTTACGTGTCGGAATGTTTATATATGGCAAAGGAAAAATTTATAAATACATACACTCTGATTAGTTTTGTGGTTGGAAAAAAATCCGTCACACGACAAATTACGACAAATTATTTAAATAAATAGGCTGAATGAGTACCTGCTTTTTTACCTAATTCAAATAAAAATCGACAGAAAAAATAAATATGTTCACGTGAATTGAAAAAAAAAATGAAAAAAATAATCTCATGATTTTCTCGAATAAATATCATTCTTGATTCGTTTTCGTAACGAAAAAATCTATTGCAATTCGTAAAATATAAAAAAATATAAAATCACAGAAACCAAAACGTTCACGTCATTGTTTTCGATTGAGAATTTTTTGAACTAAAAACTCAAATTAAAAGAATTAATTTGTAAAAATTAAAATTCAGAGAATTATTTTGACTTCCTTCATAATTGCTCCATCATAATTAAATAAATTACGTAAATAAATTAGTTATGGAATAAATTAGGATAATTTTTTATAGACAAATCAGTCTCATGCAAACACATAAATGAGGTTAGTGTGAAAATATTCAGCGATGAAAATGTTTAGTTTAAACGAAAACCATTAAGAGATTCCTTGAAAAAAATTGTTCATTTTAAAATGAAATGTCTAAGCTTTCGTTTTCGAATAGAATGATCATGTAGTCACTATTCGTTGTAGTGCATATTTGCTGCTGAGCTGAGCTGAAGGTGGGAAGATGTCATTGCTATCTGAGATTCATGTTGTTTATCAATTATATTAAGGTGGATCTCAGCTAGAAATGAAATCTTCCCACCGTAAGTGAAGATTTCACCGCATTAAGCGTCCAAGTCAGCAAATTAAGCTAAGCTCAGGCCTGCTCAGCAGCAAATATTCACTTTCTGGCTGTAGCCGAAAGACAAGTGTGTGACATTTCAAATGATGATTTCTTTCACAAAAATTTAATTAATGTTACTTAAAATGTATACAATATCTATAATCCGGTACACCGTAGAGATTCTGATTGAGTATTCAATGTGTCTTTTCCTAATTACATTCAAGATTTGAACTAAATCCATTGAACACCTCCTTCAAACCATTGAGATCATTGTGAGCCAATTTAATTTTCTTATCATAATTACAGTTGCATTCAAAACAGAAAGAGAAAAATGTCGTAAGTTCTTGTCAAAAAGAAAAAGAAAAGAAGAACTTGTCGTTGATGTTTATTCTGTGTGCAACAAAATGTGAACGCCGTTCACTGAATGCCGGCGGTTCACATGTTGCTCGCAAATTTATCTACTTAAGCTAAGATTTCATTCACTATGCAAACCATTTTGTTTTTTTTTTTCATTTTAAATGTTAGAAAATTACATCAATTGCGCTATTAGAAAAATTCGTTAATTTTGCATTCTGGTAATTATTGATTACAAAAAAGCGATTTGAATTTTCCAAACGGGAATTTTTAAATTATTGATTCAATTCATGCGAATAATTATTTTAAGATGCATTTTCAGTGTTTTAATTTGAAGAAAATTGAGAAAAAAATCCTGAAATGATTATTCCCATGCGATTGAATCGAAGCTGTCCCTCCAAAATTTTGAGTGATTTTTTGGATGATCGAATGGTGTGGGGAACAGTTGTAACAAATTTTTGGGATAGCAACCCTTCAATTTGGCCATTTTGCGGAATTTCGTTGCTTACGTCTTAAATAAGTCTTACATTGCCTATGCTTTGATAGAGAAACATACGCAAAGACTAGCATTTAGTTGAGAGATAGAAAAAAAACAAACTGGGATAATACCAAACTCAAACGGTAAGAGAAAGTGTACGTGTACTGAATAGATGCTATATATAAATTATGCAATATTACATGTAGTTTGTGACAAGTGTGTGTGTTTTTCAGCTACTAAGAATTGCTTAGCCCTTAAATTAGTAGTGAACTGACACGTATTTAATCCTAACCCACATACATAATATCAAATATGGTTTCTGCTTAGAAAAAAAAATGTACTCACGAAATCGCAGGAGGAAAAAATCTGTTCATGATATCTTTTAAATTTTCGTATGGTACAAATCGACTGTTATCCCGTTCAATGGTTGGATGAAAAATGATGCGACAAAATTATCGTTTATTTGTTGTGTGTTTGTGTGCAAAACTATGTGTATGAGAGCATTTAGTGTTCGATGATTGTTGTGCCGCCTTCACTTTTTACATCGATGCCGGAAATGACTTTGGTGAAAGCCGCTGCATCCTTCAAGCTGAGCACCTGCACGACTTGCGGCTCAGTTCCTGGCGGACCTTGGATCATCATTTGATGCATGCCCGGCGACATGGTGATCGTTTCCAATCCATCCCCATTTTCAACCTATATTAAAGATTCAACCAGATTTTTTCGTTTACATTAAATTATTTTAGAAACAAATTTGACAACGAATCCAAACACTCAAATGGTGAACACGCCACATTGGCAGCTCTTACTCACTCAAAGCACACGCTAATGAAAATCAAAATGAAAAAGAAAACACAACAAAATACGATTAAAAAAAACATAAATTTATTCATTTCGGTTTCAAAGAAAAACAAAATAAAATAAATGTTTCAATTGACAAAGAAAAATAAATAAATAGGAAAATGAACGAAATTCTATGCGGTGGTGTGTGAACAATAAATAAAATGTCTATTGCAGTGAACGACAAATTTAAAGTGTGTTATGTGTAAAAACTTAATATTTAATTGCAATTTTTAATTGCAACTCATTCAATGAGACAAAATAAAAATTAAAATCATTGATATCGACGAACAATTTGAAAGAATAATTTTCTTCGAAATTTAACAGAAAAAATCGAAAAAATGATTCTTTTTGGATAAATTGATTGATTTGTATCCGATTTGAATTTAATTTATTTTTTTCGAAAACTCAATTTAGACAAATGAACCGATTTTTATTTTTTTTAGAGTGATTTAAAAACTGAAAAATAAAAATAAACTGGATGGGTATTCAAATTTTGGAAGATTTTCCAAAATGTCTTCGGGTTGGGCTAATGAACTCAATAAACGTTCGAAAAAGAAATTAGTCCTTCAAATTGTGCGCCATATCATTCGATGTAAATTTAACTTAAATATTTTTGGTTCTTATGGCATCAAACTCTGAGCTGATTCAAATGTATTAAGTAGAAAATCTTAAGCACCGTTTTCGAAAATATTTTCAATATTTCTCTTAGATATAGTTTAAGGAGATGCCATTGTTAATAACAGCAATTTGTTATTAAATTAAACAAGAAAAAGTTGAAAATTTTAAATTGTTGAATAAAATATTTTGAATTTCATAAGAAAAAAAAATCTCTCATATCTTAGGAACTTGTTGAAGAAATTGTGCTTTCTTTTAGTTATTTTGAATTTTTTTTTAAGAATATGTATTGAATATATATTCAATCTTTTTCTTTTGAATATTCAATTTGACTTTGTTGAAAAGCCATCAAAAGTTCAAAATTAAACTGGACTTCAGAATTTCAAGATAAAAATATGAAATTCGATGTCAAAAAACACCATGTCATTAAGAAAAGACTTAAAATGATAGATGACTCTCACGCGGCTCTAATACTAAGAATTTGTGTAGATTTCATAAAAGAATAAAAAAAGTGTTTTGATTCTGTATAATAAATTGTAGGGATTGGTATAAATCACACACAATAGCTGACTAGAGACAAAAGAAATCCATACGGACTAAACTAAAGAGAAACAAAAATGTGTCATAAGGAAACAATCAAAATAAATAAAATTTTAACTTGAATGAAAAAAAAAGTTGAAAGGAAAAAAAAATGAAATTCAAAATTACGCTCTACGAATAAATTCAAGCTTAATAAATAATTTTTGGCAAAATTGTTTCGTTGATGGCAAAATTCGGTTGATATTCTCCTTCAGTCGAATTTTTGTTTCTCTTTTGCGTCGATTATAACATAGAGCAATTAGTTTTGTTTGAATTTTTTGCATTTTAAATGCATTTTTATTTTGAATTTATTCATTGAATTGTTCACAAAATGATCGGCGACCATTGAAGCGAATAAAAATCATGCAACATCAATTTCGCACTCCATTTTAATGCTATGGGTGTCGTTTTCGTTTAGCTGAACGTTGATTGGGATATTGTCGGTTTTGTTTGTTTTCGACGAATCATCGGCGACAGTGGACACCAGTATTTGAGCACATTTGAGATCATGATTGGCATTACCGTTGCTTTCTTCACTGTGATTATTGTTGTTGTTGTTGTTGTTGTTGGTGTCGCTTTGGTGAGTGCTTTTATTATCATCGATATTTTGTATCATGAAATTTCGATCCATACCGTTTGATTCGTTTGAATAGGAAGTTGGTGGATTGAAAGTGGTCGAGCTCATAAATTGATTTCGATTCACAAACTTTTTGCCTTTGGCTGGTTTTCGATCGTTGTTTGTGAAATTTGGCGAGAGATTGTTGAATGAAAGTGTATTTTGGCAATTTGCGTTGCTCACATTGGTCGCTTGACTTAGGACACGGCACAATTCTAGCAAATTGTGATTGCTATTATTGGCGGCACTGTCACAATTGAGCGTCGATGCTATTTCAGATGAGCCACCGAACGGGCTGCCCGAATTTGGCTGAAAATTTGCAAGTACTGGTGTACCGCTACCGACGCTGCCGCCGCCGCCGCTGCCACTACTAACATTACTAAAACTACTGTTCACACTACTAATGCACGGCGCGACACTACAATTGCTGCCGATCAGGCTGCCACTAATACTTGTGCTGTTTATATGACTAATCGAATGTTGGTGACCGGGTTTTTGTACCTGCATCGGTGTTATACACAATGTTCCATCGCTATTTGTGTGAATCTGCTGGATATTGGCAACCATCGACTGGTATACGGATGATGATACGGGAAGAGTTATCATTCCACTCACAGACACCGGATAACCTGAATAAAATTAGGAAAATGAATTTAGTTTGAAAATTTAAAAATTCAATAGAAATGGTAGAGTACGCAATGAAGTCTCGATTAAAATGGAATACTAATAGAACATATTAGTTTTGATCAAAAATAAAATTTTAATCGAAATAAAAGAATCGAAACCGTGAACTTTATTCCAAATCAATTTTAGCGTCATTTCAAAAAATATGCTATTCTTCATACCTTGACCATCTTCCCCGGTGATAATGATTTGTCCATCTTGTCCGAGTGTAGCCTCTGTCAAATCGACTGTCATATTCTCGTGACCTGCATCAATGCTTTGTACTGTTTGTACGTGTCCACCATCGCCTTGACTTAGCTGTTGGATAATGAAGAATGAGAAACATTAGTTTGAGCCCAAATGTGTATTTTATTCCGTTTGAATGAATTTTTCTCTCTGAAAACTTACCGTTGCAATGCCTTGAACCTGAGCTGTAGTTCCATCAGGAAGAGTGATGATTTGATTGCTTGGATCAACCTGTATGATCGAAACTGTTCCATCGGCATTTTGAATGGAATGTAACAACCCTTGTGTGTACTGCGGAAGAAAATTATGTAAATTAGTTATTTTCGTGTTTTGTAGTGGAATTGAACAATCGATTCAATCAAAATAAAATGAAAAAAAGTTAAAGAAATGGATTTAGTAAAAATTAAAAGTGTACGTTAATATTCGAGAGATTGCAACGAGTCTATCGAGGGATTAGCTGAGTTAGAAACCCTTTTCAATAAAAGAAAAAAAAATGGTAATCATAAACGAATGGCAAAAAATCATTGGGAACAAAAGAATAAAAGGCAACAGAAGAGAATCAAAATGGGTCAAATCATAAGCAAGCGAACAAAAGGCACACAACACCAAAAACGAAAAAAGAAAAATCCAGAGTAATTTGTTGAGGCAAAGACAAAATACGAACATCTACATCGCTTATTTGCATCGAGTCAAGAATCTGTGCATTGGTAATGGTTTGCGTGGTCGGTTGTGCTTGAATGTGAATTTGTTTTGTAATTGTGTTGCTAACATTATTCGCCGATGATGTCGTAACACCTGAATGGTGCACCTTCAAAACGCCAACCTATAATTTCCAACAGAATAATAGTTTCATACATTGAATGACGCAAAGCCTATGAGAGCCTTATGAAATTGAAGTTTTTCTCTGAATGAATAGACGGAGGCAAACATGTATCAAATTTAGTGCCGACTTACATGTGAGCTGGCAACCGATGAGTTTAATGTGGCAAGTTGATTGGCTTTTTCATCTTCCTCCGAGAATGCTGGCAGAAGATCTTCACGTCCATGGAACTTATAACAATTGATGACTATTTTGCGCAAAGCATGTGTCCAGCTTATCTGAAATGTCAATTGAAGCCAACCATTTAGTCCATTCATTCGATATTTTTCAAGATTCATTCTTCAAAACCAATTTCTTCATTGAATCATTAACACAAAATCGGTATTAACCTTCTGTTTTTCATCTTCTGTGCGTGCATCCATACGAACATTGGCCCACGGTAATTCCTTCGGCCACCATGCCGGTCGTGTTGATTCTCTGCCCCAGCCTGGTTTACCGCGTCCAGTGGAGTACTTTAACATCAATGGGATGAATGCGCGCAATTGTGCCTGTGTCATTTTCTCGACCGGTGTCGGGATGCCATCAATGATGAGCGGTGGTAGTTCGAATAGTGATGGATCCTCTTGAACGGGCGGTGGTGCCTGTTGAGCTAATGCCGATTCCAATTCTTCCATTACGATACTTTTGAGATTACGTACGACATCTTCAAGTGGTTTGGCTCCGAAAACTTTGTAACTGGTGTTTGGTTTGCCTGGTGTGGCCACCAAAACAATTGCCTGTTGGCCGACTCTCGTTGCAAATTCATAAATGGTTTGCTGTTGGAAGATAAAAATTATAAATTAAAAATGATTTTCTATCGAAAAATTCATTTTTTCAATTCAATCTCATCATTTGGAGTTCTATACAAATCCTGAACGTGAAACAATTTCATATTTTCAAGCAATATTGCAACATCTTATCATATAGTTCAAAAAATCCCTCGACTTAATTACAAAATCCAGCAATTAAATGGAAATAAATACCCTCAATTTCCGTAGTAGTCGATTTTGTTGGCGTTTCCGAATCGATGGATTTGTTTCAAATGAATGTGGTCGTTTACGTTTTTTGGCCGATGCAATAGCTGCTGCAGCAGCAACTCCAACTGGACCAGCGGCTGCTAGTTGTGCTGTCACATCATCGTCATGCATTAAATCGCCATCGTATGCACTCTCCGGGCTGCTTGGCCCATCATCATCATCATCATCTGTCATTCCATCGATTTGATCATCTTCAATCATTTCGATTGTTTCCGTTCCAATGTACGTTGCTTGATTCATTTTGGTTGTTGTATGTGTTCAATGACTGTGTTTAAATTTAATTTGACTTTTCTTTGTTGTATATCTTTGGTATTTGTTTGCACAAGATCTGTTTGGTTCTCACGAAAAATTCACTTTTTGAAGATATTCCTCACCATCTGTTTCGATAAAAATGAGAAAAAGAATGTTTAAAAACGGTTTTTTCGGTACAATATATTTCGAGTAATATTACAATTGAAGTTGCTCAGGAAACAAACAAAAAAGGAATCACTTTCAAAACTAAAAACGAAAACTGTCCACTCTTTTAAAATGTTTTGACCATGGCAACAACGAACGACAGAGGAAAATTTTCGTCCCTTCACCACCACTGCGACAGCGCAAATGAATCACACACCAATCTGGCATATACGCATTCACATTTGAGTCATCGTAGTCGTACCATATTCATAGAAACATGTTCAAGTGTCGCACGCACAACAACTTTCAACTCAAACACACTCACACTCACACATACACATATATCGAATAACATGCAGTGTAGTGTCTAATTGGATTTTTACCCTCCTCATTTAAAACATCGAGCGTTGCGATGACGTTCACATGGCTTTAGTTCAGTAACCCCTCGTCTTTTACGTATTTACAAAACACAACGAGCACGAGCACATCGCATACAATACACGGCGCAAATGTGCACTTAAACACATTCGCATGCTCCGAGTGTATTTTTCCTCACTCTCACTCTCTCCCCGTTTTCAGCATTATCTACGCATTCATTTTCCACATGAACATAATGTACATATGTGCGCACGCCGTCAAACATAGGCCAAATGCGGAGAAAACATAAAAAGTACAGTCTGAGCGTGTGCACAACAAATGAATGTTGTTTCGGTGCTGTGTACAATGCTAGAAACCGCACAACTGAATCAGATTGCTGTTAAATTAAAAGGAAATCGAGTCACCGAGATATTGACGGAGGGTTGGGAACGGATACACATGACCAACGGCAAAATATGAAACGGAGAGATAAACGAGTGACTCGCGCAACAACAACACCACTCCATTTGATATTTCGTTTGAGTCAGCTCGGCTCGATGAACTAGAAGCAATCGACTTGCGTTGTCGAATGAGAATGTTTAAATGGCTTTTTAAAAACATGTTTAAAGGGACAGATATTCGGAATATTTCCTTAAAGTAAAACTATTGTAGCGCTCACCCCAATTTTGACTGAACCATCTAGCGCAATAGCAAATGCATTGCATAAATTAATAATCGTCAGCCAAGAGCGATTCAATTTTTTTTCGTTGGGGAGAGTGTGTCATTTCATTTATTAGGCGATTTAAATGAATACGCTCATCGTACAAAGTGCTCATGAACGTGCGCTCTATGATGCGCACGTACTGTTATACTACATACACTGTTGTGCAGCAAATGAGTAAGCGGAAAATATTGTTTTAGTTTTCGGGCCAGAGAGCAAACAGAAAAATAAACGATTTTGAACTGAATCTTGTTTAGATGGAAGATTTTGATGCAAGTTTCTGAATAAAACACAACGAGAGTGAGAGAAAATCACTGTTTACACCCGACTATTCCATATATATATATCATTTGGAATATTCGGAAAAACGAATGTGAGATAGACTGCAGCGTAGCGCGCTAGTACAAATTATTTTCTAAAAATATACACACGTATAAGGTGAACTATTTAAGACGTCAAACGATTATGAATAGAACGAGAATTGGAATTTTTGGCTTGGCTTTCGGCACATGAGAGAGCACATAAGACCGACAGAAGATTAATTGAGTTAGAACTTGACAATGCTGAATAGAATCGAAGTGTTTCGCTTAGAAATGCGAGAATTGTAATACGGTTGCCGTATGTAACGTGGTTTGAGAGGAAAATCTGCTTCGTATCCATATGTTATGTCACACAATTATTATTTTCCATTCTTGATTGTATTATTATTTGTTGGCGCTGGCGCTTGGAATTGCGATTCATTCTCTTGTTTAAATTGCATCGTTTTACATTTTGTCTAACCAAATATTTACATAAGCAAATAATATTTGATAAAAGTTGTGATACGGCGAAAGAGAACGAGAAACAAAACAAGAGAATGAAAAAAAAACGAGAGTGAGAGAATGACCGTGTGTGAATATTTCGGCTGAACATTCACAGTCTCAATTGTAATGCGCGTAAATTTATCAATGAAATCGTGTGTCGCGTGTACACGATTTGTTTATGGAGCGAAATGTGACAACAGGCGCAAAATATGCCGATTTTGCGGTGTGTTGAACAACGAAGTCAGCGTAAAATTTCGAAAGTGCGCCGATCATTATGAGCATGAAAACAAAAACAAAAACAAAAATGAAACGACCCGAAAGTGACACCGACACAGAGAGCAACAGAGACAGAGTATATGAGCACGCCGCAAAGACAGACATCGTCGCGTGTATGATAATTTTCTTGAATTTCATTTTGGCGCATCACATAATTCCGCGTTTGCCCACCAAAAATCCCATGTAAAAAATGAACACACGGGGCAGCCATACGATGAAATGAGTTCGGAAGAGTCGACTTCTACGCATTCGGCGTGGCTATAAACATTGGAGCAATTGTCAAATCAACCCGAGATAGCCGTATGTTGTTCACGGCATATATATCCATACACACCACCAATACACAACTGCTGCTCGCATTTTGCACTGAATCCGCGTTTTGCCGAACAACAATTGTCACTCAATATTCGTCTTGTGTATACTTTATTATTGGGATTGGACAGAAGATAGAGCGAAAAAGAAAAATGGCAGAATTCTGTGTGTGAAAAATGACGGCGATTTTTTGTTCATGCCACAATCTCTCTGACATCATAGCAATTGGCCTGGAAATTTTTGGTCGAAAATTCAAGCGAACGCCGACCAAAACAATAAAAAACCAATAAAATTCTCCGCAAATGAACACACAAAAATAAATATTGTTTTGAAAGAGTTCGGATATTTGTGTGAGCTGAGCAAGCCCAGTTTAGTGGCAAATATACGTTTGCGTACGCACCTGCGTGCACTTTTTCTGTCGACAATTCCGAAAAATTTTCTTCCCATTTAATTGCGCTCGTTCGCACTGTCACAATAACAACACTTTTACACAATTTATTCGGTTGTGCACCACATTGTTCGGTCGTAGCGAGCAATTTTTCACGAAATTTCACATAAATTCACATACGACACAACAATTTTTCACAGCATACACGATACGTTTATGGATGATGGCTGATTTTGTTGTTGAACCTCCATATTTTTTTTTCACTCAATCCACTCTATATGTATATCAGTTTTGGTTTGCTGCTCCGATGTCATTATCGATCCGCATCACGATTCATGCACATACGAACAGAAGGAACAGAAGAAAAAAAACTTGTGTGTATACACCAAATACGTAGTATATATAGATGTGTATCATAGCGCCTCGACGGCGGCCATTTTTCTTTCACATTTCACAGCGTTTCCAATCTCAATGGGATTCGGTTCGGTGAAATACCGAAAATAGCTCACATTTAATGCGGACACAGTCGGTAAGAATCACAGAAAATTAACCGGTTATTTTTTCATGTTTCGGACGAAATTTATAGCGAAATGGATCATTTTGATAAAATTTTGGATTTGGATCCATTTGAAAAAAAAATCAAAATACAATTTGATTTTATCGTTAATTTTTTTGTGGCGAAAATCGACAATAGAATTAGTTTTTATAACAATTTTCATCATTAAAAAATTATTAATACAACGAATAAACATTTTTCATACATTCATCACATTGAAAAAAATCAATACATTTAACGAAATCAACCGAATTGTTTCATTTTTCCAAAGACCATTTCATTGTCAACCATTCACTGTACAGTGTACTGTACATAGCATTCTCTTGTAATATTCCTTGTTCTCCCTCTGACACTCTCCTATATTCACACTCATTCTCTTCTATTGTCAAACTCGTACGTGACGTTAGAGAGAGTGCGTCCAATCCCGTTATTCGAACAGTTCCTTTCAGTTCATTCGGTGCGATATGGGAAATGCATCAAAATCCAATACAATTCAATCCAATCAGATTAGTATTCTCATTTACACGCCTCTCAGTCGACTATTTTTCATCGTTCAAATAAATGAATTTATTTTTATTTCAAGTCAATGCATTTGTTGTACCGGAATTTCAAAATGTGATTGTTGCGAACGCGAGACATGCGCAATTTTCAACGCTAATTTGTTTACATTTTAACATAAACATAACGAATGAGTCTGTTGTTGTTGTTTGACAACCATTTGTTTCTATCAGGTTTTTTGATCAACGTTTGGTGCGAATGCGCAATTCCAATGCCATGTGATGAAATCTCGGATGCTTTAACGGCATTTCTTTGAAGTTGATTTGAAATTTTTGTTTGAATGTTCAACATGATGCAAGTGACAAAACGTATTTTTCTTAAATACTAACAATATTTGCGATCACAATGTATTCTATGTCGTTGTTGTCATTTGATAAGAATTCGGAATTTCATTTACTTTGTAACACTCACATTCAATATTGGCGGTTAAATTTCGAACATTACTTCAATGTTTGTATTGCTCAATCAATGATAATTTTTAATTCGAACAATCATAATTTCAAACGCAACGAGTAAATTGGGATTTTCGAAATAAAATTTCCTAAGAATTTAACAGACATTTTTGCAAATTCGTTTCATACATCTCTGGATTTGCTCAAATCAGCGCTACTCATTGAGATGAAACGCATGCAATTGGCAAAGTTGAAAACTAAACGAAAAGTCATCACAATTGAAATAATTTGGTGGCGTCGCAACATCGATGTCGGAGGTTGTGCTGATATTGCTATTTTTCACAGAGTCACGGAAGCAAGCAGACATATTGAATCACGACTTGCAAATCAACACGTTTTCATTTTTAGCGGAAAAAAGGCAACGGCAAACGTAAGTGAAGTGGAATATTTATTATTTATTTTAATGTTCATCATCGGAATTTCGTAATTCTGTTGTAAAAGCTGCAAATTAACTTGGTATTCATTAGAATTGACGTCGAATATTTTGTGACATAGGTGTGCACTTTTGCTGTGCATTTTTTTTACCATACACACGCGTCAAACACGTGTTTTGCATTGAGTCATTTCATTTATTAGTGTTTGATTTTTGATGTTTTTCCGAAATCTAAGAGATAATGAACCCGTTCAGAGGTGTTTCTGGTAGGCGCTGTAAGTGCAAGTCAAAGCCAAAACAGGTGAAAATCAAACAAGATCCTGAACTGCAGGAACACAACGACAATGATGATGTCATTAACGTGTCACGGCCAAGAGTTGATGGAAGATATTGTGCGAATTACGAAGGACCGGCGTATGACTTCGATGATATAAAGGATGAAATCAAATGCGAGGAAGAAGAGACGGACAAAGAAAATGACGCAGAACCATGTGAACGATCAAATGGGAGAGCTAATGCCAACGATGATTACGAGAATGAGATGAGTGGCGTAGTTGATGTTCAACCACCGCAACCAGTTGAAAGTGGGAAGAAAGGTATTAGAAATGCCAAAAAGCAAAACAAGCGCATGATTCCCAGGAATAAAGCGATGAAAAAGCAAAAGAAGCACAAATGTGAAGTGTGCGATCATATGACGCTCAGTAAGTCTAAACTCATAACGCACTTACGAATTCACACTGGAGAGAAGCCATTTCAGTGTGATGTTTGTTCGAATACCTCTTCACGAAAATATAATTTGATTCTTCATAAGAAGACGCATGGTCAATTCCATTGTGTAAAATGTAATCAAAGATTTGACCAAGAATCAGTCATCACCGATCATGAAAGATTGTGCAATCCGCGCCAATTCGAATGCGATATTTGCGAATATAAAACAAAGTTTAAATCAAATTTGACAAGGCATATGCGGATTCACAGCGGAGAAAAGCCGTCAGAGTGCTCGATTTGTTTCAAGTCATTTACAACCAACTCTCAACTCCTAAGACATTCAATGACTCACAAAGATGAATTGCCACATGCTTGTTCGAAATGTGGTCGACGATTCACCAGTCTAGAAGATAAGCGAATACACGAAAAGCGCTGCCAACGAAGTCTAATTGCATGTAATCAATGTCATTACAAAACTGTTTACAAGCATTGTTTGAAGCAGCACATGCAATGGAAACACGGAGCCAAAAGATCGATCGAATGTGAAATTTGCAGCAAAGAATTCATCAGGCAGTTAGATTTAAATCGTCATTTGTCAACAATACATAGCGCCCAGTTCCCGTTTGAATGCTCCAAGTGCTTCGGAGGATACGCAACCGAAGGTATGAAAAATGCGCATGAAGAAAGCTGTGGCCGCCGTCAGTACCGATGCCATTTGTGCGAAGAGTATTGTCGAAGCAAACATGTTCTGAAGATCCACATACGAAAAGATCACACCGGAGAGAGGATTCAATGCGAAGTATGCGATGCACGCTTCATCAGCAAAAGTCATGTCAATCAACACATGAGGACTGTTCATCATGTGAAGAAAAAATAGTGTCCAAGCAAATTGACAATCATCAGTCTTTCATCCCATAGAATTATTGAAAAGTAGTAAAGTTTGAAATCAATTATTTTATGATTCTTTTGAGACTCATAATTTGATACACTTTTTAGGGCTAATAAAACGTTGATTTTAGAAATAATATATTCATTCCGAAATAATATATTCAAGTTTTTGCAAAACAAAAAATTCACGAACATTCTACTTTAGGTTTAAACTTCCATTTTAAATGAAAATTTCATTTTGAAATCAAACAGACCTGAAATACATTAAAAGAGAAATAAGAAAAGAGGTTGGATTTTATTTCGGATTTTATTTTTGCAGCAAATATTCAAATAAACGAAAGAAACAAAGTATTTTTAGAAATGTACTACAGTGACAAAATCAAGCCCCCCCCCCCCCCATTCAAATAATGTTTGTATGCCTTAACGATAATGTTTGAGTTCCAAAGTAGTATATTGTTCTAAACTGTCAATATTCAAATAATTGATTTGAATTAATTTCTAATTAATTGGCCATTACCTTCATTCACAGTCGGTTCTTCAGAAAGTATATGACATTTCTAATATTTTTGATTGCAAGCCAAATCATGCGGTTTTAAGTCGCTTTTTTAAAACCATCCACTCAACAACAACAATTGATAGACCGGCGAATGATTTAAAGAGACTCTATGGAAACTCAGCTATTTTGAAGACATCGAATAAATTCAATTTGCATACATTATTAGTACATCATAATTTTAATCTCATTACCCTTAATTTAACTTCATTCTGCTGAACTGTACCAATTTCCACAATGATTTGTTCGGTTCGCAGTCAGCAAAATCGTAAAAAAAAGTCAACGGTATTCACAGCCCTGAATGTAAAGCGTTCTAATTGTTTGAAAACATCTGGTCAGCAGCGAAACCACCATACAAGCGAATCAGTGTTCGGTGAAAGCTTCGGCAAATAGAGTTAGAGTCGGTATATAAATTTCTCGTCACATGTATCGTGATGTACATAGATATATCTCGCTCGCACGCTCGACCGTTTCATGTCAAACAAGCGTGCACTGTGGGGGAATGTTGAGTGTGTTGTGTCGGTTTGGTATGAGGAGGCTCTGACGTAGATGGAAAAAAGGGGGCAATGCGCTTGCACATAAAATCACAAGCACGCGAACCATCGTGTGTATATAGTATGGCAGAGCTTTTGGAGTGCATGACAAGAAAACGACCGAAGTGAAGAAAAAAAAACACACAAAATGAGAACGCGTTGTTCACACACAGCACATCGAGTGAAGCCACAAAAGCGCGTTCGATTCAGTTTCAGAATAATCTTTGGCATGGAATGTCCTGCATAGAATTAAAGTGAATCGAAATAATGTGATTCGAAGCACATTGAATGTGTCATCGAAGGCAAATAGTGTGTCAAACCAAACTTTGAGTCAAACAAAATAAGAGACATTTTTAATCCAATTAATGTGTGTATTTAACACCGTAAAATCTTAAGTCTTGTGTGTTTTTTTATTATTCAAAGAGAGAGGTGTTTTCACTTTTTTCTGCATCGATTGCAAATGCTATCTATTTTCATTTTATTCGGAAAGCTTATAAGTTCAAACGAAACGAACGAACAAAATTCGTAAACAACAACAACAACCAAAAAAGAAGTGAACGGAGGGTGAAACGAAAAAAAAAACTTATTGAATTCTGGTGAAAAATTCATAGTGAATCGATAAAATGTGGCTTCGTTGATGTGTTGAAACGAAAAAGAGAGAAAATCAACGAGGAACATTATTAAAATAATCGACATCAAAATTGAAAGCGAACGTCAAGTATAGCAAAAGTTTTTATTGTTAATAGCAAAGTGTGAATGTTAAATGTAGACGTGTAAATTGATGGAATTCGCCGAATGTCAAATCATCGAATCGAATAACGGTGCTCGTGATGATTTGCCACACAATTGAACGGAAAAGATAACTTAAAATTCAATTCATTCGCGATAATTTCCCAAATTGAATTCGTTGTGTCTGTGAATCTGAAATTAAATTCATTTTTCAGTCATTGAGTGTGCATTGTCTGTGTGTCTGTGTGTGTTTGAGAGTGAGTGAGTGTGTTTCAGTCAGCCGTGCTTGATGATTAGAAAAGAAAGAGGAACAACTGTCGCTCTGTGCACACTCAGCTGGTTGTGTGCCCACTAGACGATACGTGTGCACGTTGATAGATAGATAGTAAGCGCCCACCACGTTCGCTTTCATGTTCTACTCGCTCTTTTTTTTGTTATACCCACATAAAAATTAAAGCTCACAGACATCCAGGAATTTCGAATACGAAGGCGCGCGTTTTGTGTTAAGGAGTTGTGCGGGATAGGACACAAACAAGAAATGGTGCCAAGGTATTACATTCAACTTGTGTCGCATATACTTTGCGTAGCGTAAACGTATAGTTTTGTTGCATGCTCTGTGTTTGTGTATTGTATACGTCTCTCACTCTCTCTCTCCCTATACATATTTTATTCAATATTCAAACCCTACATATATACACATATATGTATATATCTATCATGTCATCCGCGTGCCGCTTTTAGCATCGCTTGCGTACGGGTAAAATTTATGTAGAATCGTTAAACTTTATTTATTATGGAAACGAATACGTATATATATATATATCTTTTGGTGCGGATGTCTGATGTGCCTTCAACCAGGTAATAAATCGTGTGTGTGTGTGTGTCACAACAGAAATTGCTACATTTAATGAATAAAATAATAAAACACAAAACTCCAATTTCAATGGAATGGGATCAAAAGCTCACAAAAAAATTACAATAGATTTAAGACCCGAAAAAAATTCACTTCCGTCATTGTCTTTTACAAAAATTAACTCTGACATTTACCGAAAATTCAATTTCCTCGGGGGAATCGATTAGGCACTTCATAAATTATGATTTCAGGCTTGGTATGCGAAGCGCAATCATAACAAGAAAACAACGATCTCAGCAACAGCAAGTCTGGTTGATATGATTCATTGCTTTGATGCTTCCTTAACGACGATAATGACGACGACGACGTCGACGATGGCGATTTAACATTCATTACTCGACCACGTACAAACATATTCATTTCTCTCTCACGGTGCATTGTTCGCCATCATATTTAGGTCATATGCAAACTAATAAAATATATATACGGAAATAAAACTTATACATATACCATTTCGTTTTTGTTCAATAATGTGAACCCATTTTGCATTGAATCATCGAAAGCGAATGTGCCACGACATGCAAATATTTTCGCACAAAAGCATTTGACAATTTTCTATTATGTTAAGTGAAACGCGCGCGCACGCTGTGTCGCAGAATACAAGACATTTTACACGCATATTCTTCAAAGTTGGCTTGTGCCGCTGCATCCGGAGCAGGAGTACAAAGCTGTAGCTTATTCAACTGCAGCCCCATGGACATAAATATCCATGAAATGTAGATCAAGAAACTTGAATGGAATTCAACTTCGAACAAAGAAACGGTTTTGTACGTGGGTTTTTTTCCTCCTTCTTCAATTCATTCTTGGATGGGTTTTTTTTCTATGTACCTTACCTTACCTCAATGAATTTCAATGAAAACATACACGTTTTGTTTTCTCCAGCACCTCGAATAAGAATTGATTAGGCTCTATACCAACCATATGGCACAATTCACATTGGCCACGCGTGTATGCATTTTCCACATACAATTTATGACTTTTCTTGAACTCTTTCCTGAACGTCGCGATGCAGTCAAATTCCTTTGCATATCCGTCCGTGCGAAATTGAATTTAATCCAATGCATCTCTCGTGATTACCTCGTGTACGGTGTTTTTTCTCGTATGCAATTTTAGTTACGTGTTTATTATCAGAATCATTAGTGAAAATAATGCCAGAAGAGAGAGAAAAACGGCGAAATGACCAAAGAATAACCTTTTCTAACGTCATTTGAATCGTTTTTCTCTTCACGACACGCATGCCTTTCATCACGCAATGAATCCATTTCGGTTTCTTTGTGCTGGCACAAGTTGAGGTTTTTTTTTTCTTCAAAAAAACCGTAATTCGTTTTGTTTCTGATCGTGCAGCGTGAAGAGCAGCAGTTTATATATTTGAAGAGAAAAAACAATGGGAATCAAAGTGCAAAAACCGCACTCGCAATTCAGCTTTTTGCTGTGCCAAAAGTTGCGCCGCGAACAATGTATGAGCGCTTAATTAGCAGCATAATTAAAATCTCATATGGGTCACAACAGAACAGAAAAAAAACACAGAGGAACCACAGCAAAAATACAAAGTGACCATTTGCTGTGTGCATTTCGATTATGTTACGTGCTTTGGAAATGGCAATAAAAACGACATCAACAGCCAGAACCAGCGTGTATAAAAACCATGGACTTTTCCCAAATTTCTCATTTTCATTGAGTAAACGTATTTGGTTGTGTTCTTTTCTTCTCGATTCAATTTTAAATTTTTAATCAATTTCATTTACATAAATGCTGAACTTGCGTGACAACTGCACACAAACACACATTTATAATAATGTGTGTGTGAATGTGAAGCAGCTTGTTAGTGTCGCTGTTGAAGGCATTGTAATTTAATTCTTTTTTCTCTCTCTCTCGCTCGCTCTGTTTCTGTACTGTTTGAATGGAGAATTGCACACAAAATATGAACCACATGCCACTTGACATGGCTTTGGCGTCCTTATGCTTGTCCCACCATATCAACGACACACACACACACACATCAACGGCACCCAATTCTAATTCGCCATGCTGCTGCTGCGTGTATACATTTTTAGTCGTTAGTTTAAATATAATCAAATATGCAAATGCTGTTGAATACAATTAAAAATAAAAATCCTTAGCGCATTTTGTTGAAGAGTTTTGAATAAAAATTGCTTTTTAACGGTGCGCTGTATTTTTTTCTATCTCTCTCTCTCTCTCTCGCTTTTGCTTGTACCACTTTACTTGTTCACTATCCCGTTGTTCCAATCCTCTTGATGGCTTTGATTTTTTTTCTACCATTTTTTTTCTTTCTATTTCAGGTCACACAATTTGTAAAAAGCGAACCGAAATGAGAGTTGATTTTCCACAAACGAACACCTCACCATATCTTGGAATCGTAAGTGGCAAGTGCTATTTTCAAGCGCGAATATTTTATTCTTTTTCTGTTCTGGTGTTCATTCTTTCAACCCAAACCGTATGTCACTTTCAATTCGAAGCTCCACTTGTACAACGTATGATGAACGATGAACGAATGAAACACTTTCATTGGTGTAAGCACTTACAATCGCTGCGACTGTATTGGTGCACCCAGTGAGAGAGAAAGAGAGTTCATCTTGTAAATTATAATGTCACTAAACTGTATCCATTTTTTTCATTTCTCCATCTATATTCCCAAATGATGATAACATTCAAGTCCGCAACTTGGTGTGCATTTGCCGCAATATTCGGAGCTGTCGCCGTAATATCTTGCTGGATACGGAAATGCAGGTATTTCAACATTTGCATACAATGTGCTTCGATGGTTAGTTTAGGGCTGCTTTTTTTCTCATCAAAATGACAACAACAAAAAAACAGTACAAGCCGAACCGAACACAAAGAAGATACAAATAAATTGATTTTGTGCAAGTCAGCACCTCTCCAGGGAAAGGCGAACAGCAATATCACCGAAACGATGAAATCAATTTATTGTATTCCAGCTTTTTTTTCGTTTTTTTATCATAATTTTTTCTCTCTGTGTCCACATTGCAATTTGCAACAGCAGAACTCGATGAAGTGAATGAATGATACAGCATATAAAAAATGTCTCAATATTTTTGTTGATTTAGAACCGGGGCACGCTACATCGCTGACTGACTTTTATTTGCTTAAAAGTAAAGTGACGTCATGATGAAGTCAATTTTAATCTAACTTGGATGATATGGGAAAACTCGTTTATGTTTTTTTTTAACTTCTTTCGCGGTGTGTTTAGATCGATTACATAATTCGTCTTTGGCGTGAGCTGTTCGTAATTGCTTTTGATTTTATCTGAACCGGAACTCAGTAATTGATTTACGTCACTGCTTTTTCAGCTCGATCAATTTTGTGCTTACTTTGGCTCAGTTGTTTTTTTTTCGCATAACTTTTCTATTTTGCATCGATAACATCGCCGTTAAACGGTATACCGCGAAAACATGCCAAAAGTAAATAACCATTTTATTTTTCGGTTATTCGCTATACCGAAAACCTTTCACAAACACGACTTTTCGTCGATGCATTCTGCGGTTAGCATATTATGTCGAAACATACACATGATACGAAGAATAAACGGCATGATTGCTTTCGATTTTGCACAAACATAAATAGATCGAAAACCAGTTCAAAAACGATAAATGCGTCATTACAAATTTGCCTAGTTTTCCTTTGGATATTACTATTTTGAGCGCTATCCCCCCCCCCTCTCTCTCGTTATTGTTTCAAAAAAGCCACTTGAACAATTAGCCATTTTCCACATTCAAATCGAGCGCGCGTTTGAAGTCATAGCGGCAAATGATGATGAAGAAGTGAAGAAGAATATCGCTTTACGGTCTCATCGAGCTGACTTCAAACATGCCAGACATACGGCGCACTTGCAATACCAATTTATTTCGACGATATGACGGTTTCAAGAGAGAGAAAAAAGAAAGGGGAAGAGAGAGAGAGAGTACAAGAGGGCATGCAATTGCCATGTTGAAAATAATAAATGAACGAAAAATCGTATACTTTATGAAAACGAACTTTGAACTCACAAACACATTCATTTTCATTGTTCACGATCAAATATATTTCAATTGTGAATCATTCGCCTGAGAATCGCAACAAAAACACAAATCGACGGTGCATTGTACGCGCACGATACACAGAAGAAATAGAGAGTGAGAGAGTACGAGTTCAGGCGAAACAATAGATATATAGTGGGCCGTTTATCAAAAGTAGTTGGTTCTCGTTTTTATTGAGATTGAAAAGTATATGTCTTTTCGGATGTACATTCCATTTGAATGTTTGACAACACAATTCATTATTCATTGCGCGAAAATGTGCCATAACAACAAAAGTATCAACACTTGAGTGGTTTTTACTGTGCTGCGTTGAGTTTTGTTTTTGTTTTTTCGTTCACAGTCACTGATTAAACGAAATGAGAATGTATAATCAGTTATGCTTTAAAACAAGAGGTATGCATGCACCGAACAGAGAGTATGGCTTTCGGTTTTTGTTATTTCTTCATGAAGTAATGGGTTAAATGATAGCGAAATGGAGTGCACACCCGTTCGAATATTGCTGACATACAGTGTGTTCGCTTTTTGTTGACTCATCATGACAACGCATTCCGATTTTAGCCGAGAAATAGAGTGTGTGAGATAGAGAGGGAGTATTGAAGATGCAGACTAAAAACATAATCTTAATTTATTGCTAAAACCCAAGTGGGCATATTTATGGTATAGATTTTATGTACTCTGGCGCACATCCTCGATGACACTGCTTATAACTAGTCGTAGGCAAGAGAGAAAAAAATTGCCCAACCGAAGAGAAAATCTCGTTCAATTTTTAAGGTTTTTGTTTTCTCTGTCGTTTAAAATGGCTCATTCCATGAAATTCCCTTGGATTTAGGTTTTTTGCACTTTCTAGGCATAGTGGAAAAAGCTTTATTTATTGATACCAATGATCTTAATCCTATGAAATCGCAAAAGCTTTCAACGACATTGTTACGCCCCACAAATGTGGCGTAACTACGTATTATATGCGGCGGCCGTTGATACCATGATTTTTTCGATGCCGTTTTTTTTCGTATTCCATGCGCCATTGCATCAAGCTCCATACACAACAAAAGTTCAACTCCATTGATTAAGCCAAACGACCGATTGTATCGAAATGAATAGCACTCCGTTTCCATTGAATATGCACTGCATTTTATATTTCACGTTCCATTCATGTTGCATTATTATTCACGAATTTATGCCACCGAAAGCGTGAATTACGTACAATTACAGTATTTACCCTCAATTATAAATCATTTTTGGCTTCGTCCGGATATTTGTGATGCCATTCATTCAAATGTAGATTAATTTGATGCATGAATCAAGATAGATGCATCCATTTTCAGGATTTATATACCCAATTCTTGGTCGATTTGATGAGGAATGGTCGATATGGCTCCATGTAATATCAGCAGCGTACCCAGAAAAATTTTTTGGGGGGTGAAAAATCGATTTTTTTTTCTTCATTTTTTTCTTTATGGTGCAACAAAAATTTTGTTGCACCTTTGAAATTTTTGGAGGGTGCAATGCACCCATTGCACAGGCCTGGGTACGGCGCTGTGTAATATGGAACGGAGCTAATTCCGGGTAAAAATTCTCATGTATACGGAGAGAAAGCAATTAAGTGGCTCAGTTTCGGAAGCCGTTTTCTCACCTGCCGTAATCAATAATTCATGTCCATTTTGTGTATGCATGAGGCATTAGTGTAAAATACAAACGGAGCGAACTGGATAAGTGAAATGTGATTCGCAACCATTATTGCTTCGGTACAACGAACAATCTATGTACACATCGCCCGGAGGTATGCATACCAACGCTCGAAATGTCTCTATCGATTGACTTTAACAGTTTTCTTCAATTTTGCAAACATCGTCGTCACATAAACAAACACACACACACACAAACATACATGCAAATCTCGGCCAATCCATAAAGAATGATTTAAGGGCATTTCGAATTACCATTTTATGCCTGTGAATTGCGTGCAAATGAGTGTTGCATATGTTTAACGAAACATACAAAGACTACGAACGGAAAAAACGACAATAATAAAAAATTGCACAAAGCACACATAATTTAAGGGCAGCCGTAGCAAACACGATTAACTGCAATTGTGGTGGTGAAGCGAAAAGTTCGTGACTTTGTGCATGTGTGTGTGTGTGTGTAAAAATGTGCATAAATTTTATGTGTCGCACTGAAATGAAACGAAACGGAACTGAGCACAAATAAAATGGTCAAAAGGGAAGCAAAAAAAAGGAGAGCGCAAAATAAACAGCAACTTAAAATGTATGTCTTCATTATGTGTTTAAAGTTTAGCTCGTGGCCGTTTGGTTTGGCCGATTTTCAGTCAGTCGACTGTGAACGGTTATCGCGGTGATTAGCGTCAACATTTATGGTATCATCCAGCTACAAAACGAAAAGCCAACCAAATTTAAACAAGTTTCAAAGTGAGTTTAAAATTCTACCTTCGATTTTGAAACGGATAAAAGTGGATTTCGATTTCACGTCATTACCAAAATAATCATGTTAATGACAAAAACGACGAAGTGAAGTGAATCGATACTTGTTATTCTTTTCGTACCAAAGCTCGATCCACACACAAAAAAGTGCAGAAAAACGAATGGATTTGTTTTCGCACCACAATATTATCAGTCTATGTGCACCGAAAATGTTGAATAAAATATTAAAAAGCGGAGAGAAAAAAAGAAAAAAGGGAGAAAATCGAATCTGGAGATAGATAAGAGCCATAAATATTGCAGAAAAATGCGAAAAACCCACACTAAGAGAAAAAAAGAACGTCGATTGGGAAAAGCTGTACAATTCAATTCAAAGCATTTTGGACGTGCAATTGAGATATGAACTGCTGAGAATATTCGTTGGACATTGTTACGTTCGTACGAAATACGGTTCTTGAAAATGTTGGTACGCAAAAGCGGTACATCAAAATAATTCTTTTCGGGGCTTTTAAGACGTGATTACAACAACACGTGTACCACTTTTGCGTACTAACATTTTCAGGTACCGCACAAACAATGTCCAACGAATATCCTCAGCAGTTCATATATACGTACTATTCTCGCCATCAGCTGAACAACACAGTAGCAGTTGAATTCGATTTTATGGTTTTATCCAGAAATATAAACTGTGTGTATGTGGCTTCATGGCTTCGTTTTATTTCGACGATATGTTGTCACTGCTATGATTAGCAATCCCGTGCTGTGATGCATCAGTCCATAATTCATTTGATTTCGAAACATACATTCGAAGTGAAGTTTTCAACATTCGTACAGTTTTTATTTCAGCATTTTTCAAAATAGTTCACTCCGAGAAACTGCATTCCATACGTATCTGTTCTCCTTTTTTCGTTGTTCCACCAAATTTGCCCCCAACCACATCGTGCCAAAAATAGAAATTGGAACAATTTTCACTTGTTCACACTGAGTTCCAACTGGAAATGGTTTCATATTGGCATCGATCGCTTGCTCAAAAATAGAGATAAAATGCAATTTTTACCATTGCTTGCAACATCATTGGTATTTATGCGAAAATATCTCGTATTCCCACCATTGAAACCGATACCGAATCAGAAAAAGTGTAAAACGATGGTTTAAAAAAATCAAGTAATAATAACGATAGTTAGCGGCACAGTCAATCTGCTGGCCAATATACTCTCTACTACTCTGGCGGATAATTGATTTTAATTTTTATAAAGATTTTCAATTAGTGCTGACGCAAAATGAATGCAGTTGTGAATTTCGTCTGAACAAGAGATATTAAATTGCGGTCGGATTACCATATATGTGTGTGTAATGGATATACGAGATACTATATGTTCGAACTATATGCTTTTTCAACTAATTAGTTTATATCTGACTTGAACATGTGAACTTCACATTGTGAACAACACTGGAGTGTGTCTTGATATTACTCGGTATATACAGCGTCGGTGTAAAAAAAAGCGTGAGCGACGATTTTCTCTAGAGGATTTTCGTTCATTTTATATTGGATTAACTCACGAAAACATTATGTTTGTCATTAGTCAAAAGATAGTTTTGCGTTTCACTGAAGTTAGGTATTTTGTCCATTAATATAATATACGTATTTATGTTTCAATTTTCATATTTCAAAAGTCAAAACTTTCAAAATATAAATTATCGTCCGTTATTTCGAGCAAAATATAAATTACAAGCGTAATTAATTACATTCAGTGTCATGTGAATCTGGTCGACGAAGGTTTCTTAGGTGGAAAAGTTTTTAGCAAGCAAAACGAAAATTCACTTCATTATAAACTTTGACTTTATCCAACAAGTACAGGAGAAAAAGAAAGTTAACTTGGTCTAAAAAACAAAATAAGAGAAAAAGAATTGACTTTATCTAACGAAAAAATCAAGAAGAAACGAAAACTTACCTCTCACTCTTTTGTCAACTAAACTAACTCCCTGTAGGATTCAACGACAGCAACAAATTCAACAACATCACTGCCACAGACCCAATTTTATCAGTCACCATCAAGATCGGTGTCGATATTGGTATACAAAACCATAAATTCGGTATACAAAAGCAGCCGAAAGATAATCGTGCGAGTATGTGAAGTGGCCAGCGCCAAAAAGGTCAAGCCATTCAAAATGTTTAATTTGTATTCAACGATGAATCGGCGCGCTGCCGACTCTGATCGCGACGTCAAAGAGCTTGAAACCACTGGCCACGATCGCTTTTGTCAAATACGTCCATCCAGGTAGGCTGGTTTTGACTACCCATACATCCCATTATTATCAAACTTATTTCATCCTCTTGTGTTCAAACAACAAATCAGAAAACTTTCCAAAGTTGAACAAAAACAAAGAATGAAAGAAAAAATTGAAAAAAATTGTTCAAAGAAAAAAAGGTAATAATGCTCGCTCCATTGAAATTTAGGTCTTCGTTTCGTAAAAAGCGTAAGAGAAATGTACGACGCGCACAATCGGCGGCCGAGTTCGATCCGCGCGCATTATCAGCGGCTAATAAACGAACTCTGTTCAAGTAAGCTATCCCAAGAACACAATTTCATTTTTTTTATCCATCGATTTTAGTATTCGAAACCGTGTACTCGGTTTGAATACACCCAACCAAAATTGGCTCGGACACAAAAAAAGACAATTCAAATATTCAAATTTATTAGAAAATCCCGAATTCTCATGCGATTGCTTGAAAAATTTAACTGTGGAATTCAATCTATACGCAGAGGTCGATCGGTTAGTTCGGAGCAAGAGAATTCCGAAAGTGAGCAAACCGAAAAGTCTCCATTGGTCAGTGCAAAACTGGAAACGTTCGCTAAAATGCTATTCAATCGCGCAAATGCTGCATCACAAGACAGCCTTGGTAGTGGCGGCTCACCAAAAGAGACCAACTCATCGCCAACCAGGTGGTTAACAATTCCAAACTTCGCTGTTGTTATTGTTGTTGTTGTTGTTCTTTATTATATTATGAATCCAAAACCAAAACTGTATCTTAATCTATTTATACAAGAATCGTTTTTTGAATGCTATGTGAAAAGTTTTTGTGCTATAACCGTAATATATACTTCAAATAGCTTCAATTCAATCGCTGAAATTTTGTTACGATTTTGTGGTCATTGAATTTTAGATGATTGTTGCTCAAACTCGTAGTTTAAATCGAATCGATTTTGCTAGTGATTGTTTTTTTTATATTCGTTTTTCCCAAAACAGACATAGTTTTCCATCCACTCGAATTGAATGTGTCTTCTTTAGATAGTTTTTTTGTCCAGAAAACTGTTCATTTTTTGCTTGCTGAATGTAGATACAACAAAGCTCGTGTCATTTATACAATTCCACGCCACTTCGTAGCGGCGCGTGAGATTCATTGTAAAAAATATAAACCAGAAATAGTTATCAAATTTTACCATTTTTATGAATGATTATCAACCATGTGAAACCATCGAATTGGCCATCCATATAAATTACTTTAATTGTAGATTAACTGTTTTCTGACAAATCGATTTTAATCCTTCACTTCAACCTATCTCACACACACATATACCTAGCGACAATTGCATGAGAACGGCAGCATCTGTAAAGCACAATTTAGTGAGATGCATCCGTTCGGAAATTACAACGTGTAACGGAAAAAACTAAAAGAAAAAACAAGAGAGAAAAACAAGAAAAGAAGAAAAGCTAAGAAAAAAACCAACAAACCAAATTCGAAGTAAAAAATATATTAACTGCAGGGTTTGAGTCCATTCCATTTCTTATTCAATGTTTTTTTGTCCACATTCTGTGTTTTTCTCGTGAATGAAAATTGAAAACTAGGTTACATTCACACAGTGAAGTAATTTATTTTAAATTTACATTTGCACATAAACATCCGAGCGCAAAAACTTTCAGTGCTCGAAAATGTGTAAATGGTCTAGCACCCAGCACACAGACAATTGTGTGCAACCTCAGGCCAACTGAAATTCGAAAACCAATTTTCCGCTTGTGCAACACAATTGGCAAACGTTTTCACACTTTCATTTTGTGACATATCACTTGACAACTTTTCATTTGATGCATGAAGGTTTATGATTAATCGTTCCCTCTAGCTCTGTTTTTCGATGTATTGTTTTCTTCCAATAAATGGAAACTTGCAAACTAAACGCATGGTGTGTGCTGTGTATATATGTTTGTAACAATGTTGACTGATCCTAAATGCAAAACTTTCCATTCTCTAGTGTTTCGATAATAAAATAATTGAAATAGTTTTCTCGTTACTTCCATGGTTCAGCATCGATGTGTGCGTTATTTTGGTTTGCGTTTTTGGAAGAATGTTCAATTGAATTTGTATCGTCTAGTTTTACCATACACACCATTTTCCGTTGCTGATACTCGAATTCATTCTAACCTACATATATGTGTTGTTTTGCATTTTTGATAGGTGTTTTGTATACAAAACAATATACATATTTCATAAATTGAAAAAGAGTGAATTTACTTTTTTTTCGACAGCATCAACTCTGTCGTTTATCGAACAAAAGCAAACTTTTTTTGGTACATCAACACCTGCGTGTGTCCTTTTTAAATTAAAATCCATCTTTTGTTTAAATAACATTTTCCACTACGATTGAAACTAATAACTCATAGTCAAAACAAAAAAGGACTAATCGTTCCAAAAGTTGAACCTTAAACATTTTCTATAGAAAGCAATTTTTTGTATTACATTTCATTTTCCATCATCATTGGCTGTTGTGCGTTTAAATTCATTACACTGCAAACTGAGCCACACAACTTTTACGACTTGTTTGGTTGTTAATTCAGAACATAAGTTTTAGTTAGTTTTTCGTTTTTCTCGCTCGCTTCAGACACACAGTTTAACTGATTTGTTTTTCGCATTTTCACGGCATTCTGAAGCGAGAGAGCGTACCCACTTTTCCGTTCCTACCTTGTAAATGCTAGCAACTTATACACGTTCCAATTTATGAAATGTTTTGACTAAAAATTTTCCGTTTTGTATAAAAAGTTGTTGAAAGCTATCGTTGTTTCGTTAATTCGGTAATGCGTCATTTGATGAAATTTGATTGAACGGTGCTTTTCTTTCTCTTTTTTTTTTGCGAATTTGGTCGTGTCGGTTTTGTAGGAACAACTTAAAATTCCAGTATTCGGCATTAGATCCGGGTATGACGGCAGCAGATCGAACACCACGTGAACGAGCAACGCGAGAACGGTCATACATTTCGTGTCAGGAATGGACTGAAAAATCGGCGGGCCGTTACGAGATCATGGCACATTTGGATGATATTGGCTGTAGACCGAATAAAAATTGGTTTTTGCTGAACGATACCACCGTCCGAACCGACCGTTTAATGACATTGATTCCGTTGCCGGCCGATTGTGTTGCTCTAGAGGAATTATCACCATCCGATTCACCCAAAGGTGTACTAATGGAACTGCTCGGTTCATTGCAACATCCATACATTTATCCGGTGCTCGATCTAGGAATTTTCTATTCAAATCAAATTCACTATGCGTGTCTCGTGATGCCATTTAATGCGCGTGGCAGCCTCAAGGATTTAATTTACAAAGTAAATTCATAAATTTGATTTTTTCCATACATGTGGATGCATTCCATTGATTAAACATGTCACTCAAATACGAAATTGTTTTCATTTACAATTTTTTTTCTTTCGGTTTCCGTTCATTTGTTTTGTCCCACTCGCATACGTCCGTGCAGTCACAATGGAATGATCCGTGGAATCGTAAATATACAAAAAAGTCAACATGTTTGCCGTTGTCACAGGTGCAGCGGTTAGGCCGACAAATTTTGGAAGCGTTACTATTTTTACGCGAACGAGGCTTTCCATCACATGGTCACTTGCATAGCGGCAATGTTATACTTCAAAATGGCGTTGCTAGGTACGTACAGTACACTCACATTTAATGATTTATTTATCATCATTTTTCACACTTGTCAAGACTTTTCCATAATAAAATATTTCCGATGGGCCATCCAACGACACAGCTACGAGTGCGATGGTGTGAGAGTGCCGAGTGAACACTTCACTTCAATGCACACATTGAAAATCGATTTATGTCCTCGTTGTTTATTAATTAATCATTGAAATAGTTTGACATATATTTATTCTATTCTCATGTGACCGTTCGAAACATGTGCAGATCGGCGCACATCAATGCGGCCGCCTCAATGATAATCATCTCGGTTAGGTTCGTCGCAAAATAAACAAAGTTCAAGTACATTTCCATAATGATGATCATCAGCTGCGATAAAATAGGGTTGTTAAAAATGACGGTTCGTGTCACAGCACGTGCCGCTTCAATAACATACGAATGAAAGCTTCACGCGTCGCCTTACTGTTGTTTATGTATTTTTTTTCGCTATGCACAGGCATTTTCATTTATTATTCCGATACTTGTTTTTTTATCGTCGAATATTTACTACAATTTTGTTTTATATATCTTCGCGTGTTTCAGCTTCATTTAAAAAATAAACCCAATCGTATTATGCATGCATTTCAAATCACAGAGAGCATACACACCTGTTCGAGGAACCTCTCGCTCTTTCTCTCTCTCTCTCTGTTTCTCTTTCTGGATAAAATACTAATCCATTTGTGGCCGTGACGCAAAACATTTGAACACACACCGAGCGAAAGAAAGAGAGAGAGAGAGATAGAGAGAGAGAGAGATAGCGAGAGAGAGAGAGAGAGAAGGCGAGAGCGAAAGCGAAAAAAGAAACCCAAATCACTCTAATAAAATAAACATGCACTTCCTTCCACTTCTGAAACCTCAACATGCTTTCGATATTCTTGCATTAGGTTATCGGGTTTGGAAAACGGTTTGCTGGGCTTAAACTCAAAAGTGAATGCGGTGGTATGGGCAAAGAGTATTGCAGATGTTGAGAATATGGATATCATTTGCTTTGGTCATTTACTGTTTGAAATGTGCACTGGCTATGAATTACCGTCACCGCGCCCAACCGCCGGCCACTTGCAATTGGATTTGGAACGATATCCACAGGTATTACTATAGTTTACATACGTATATATTTTCCAATTTGCTTGAAATCACATTGGCATGAAAATGACAATGATAATCTCGCGCGCTTTCATTGTAATTCAATAGGTGGTTGAAGTGCTACAAATGATTTTTGAATCTCCCGATAATCGATATCCAACTGTTGAAGAGCTTGTGCTATGCGATTTGTTCCGCAACATCGATTTACGTGAAATGAGAGGACCATCAATTTCGGTAAGCCAGACGGATACATCGTTGCGTCACGTCAAGATTTTCCCATCACTCATCCACACGTTGGAAAAAGCGTTTTCCATTGTTGTTAACTGATAAAATGTGATTAATTTCTCTTTCTTATGGTCGTTCTTAATAGTCGTTCAAGCACGGTTTAAGTATATCCACGTTGAATCTGTTGAATGCGGTTCGCCGAAGGCAAGGTGCTTCGTTAAATGGCTCATACAGTGAAGGTAGTTCACCATGCACACCGCCTTCAACTCCGCGACGTATCGGGTAATTAACACTTCTATATTCGACCCCTTTTTTCTATTCGCGATTAATTGTTCGTTATCTTTTCCATCTCTTTTGGTGGCCATTATTCTTATTCTTCTAATTAATAACCTTTTTTTTTACATTTATCATTTTGCATGCACTTTATTATGAATGAAACTCACTCACCACAACTGTATGTTTTTCTGCGCAACAGTACATACCATTGTGTACCTCATGACCACTTCGATTTTCGTTTTGAAAACCAATGAATTATATGCAGCATTTTTCTAATGTTAACTGTTTTTTTGTCTCTCATTTATTTTCTACGAACACTTTGTTTGATTATTTTCTATGTTTTAAATTCGTAATGATTTATTCATGTGTGTTGTTTTCATTTTAGTTTCTTTTGGATTTATTTTCGGTTTGAACATAAGCAGAAGATTAGCATAAAAAACTAAAAATCATCCATTATTGGTTAACTTAAAACTAATAAAAAACTCTTTGTTTTCATTCAAATAAAAAAACAACACACTTTCTCAGATTGCGTGATGTAAATTCATTTGACATTTCAAGCGATTCGGAAGATGTTTTAGACGAAGTCGTCATAACGGCGTCTTCATCTGAGTTCCATCAGTTCCATGGTTTTCTGCATCCATCCATGTCGTCGCCGATCACATTCTTCGACAATAGCATGCATTCTAACGAATCGATGCCATCGACTTCGTTGAATGTTGGTGCAACCAGTTCATCGAACGCTTCAAATGCTTCGAACGTTTCGAACGCTTCGAATGAATGTGCTAATGAGAGCTTGGCTATTCCATCGGTTGCATCAACGTCAACATTTTCAAATCAATTGACAACGGATCTATGTACTACATCGAAGAATTCAAAGAGTCGTCGTATGGAGTATTCGATGCGTGGGACTAAAACCTGTAGTAGCAGCAGCAGTTGTAATCCATCACAGGATTCTGCGTTTGGTTCAATGACAGATGGTGAACTATCGATTGCATCGAACAGTTGCCGGATGAGCAGTTTCCAATCGATGTCATCGCCAATCGATGAAAGTGTTGAAGATTCGATAACTGGTTTACCCGGACCATCTCTAACCTCATCACTGTCTCGTGCATCAACCACATCGAATAACGAAAGTATTGATGTGCCCGATTACAATCCCACTGCATCTTCGTCCGATTACAATCCCGCTGCATCCGTCTTTAATTTGGTGAAAAAGAAGTCGGCATCATTTGGTACGTCATCAAGTGGACTGCCCATTGAACCACCGACCATTTTGGTGAACGACGGAAATTCATTCTATACAACATCACCGGCCAAAACATTTGGCACAATTCAAGTGTTTTCACAAAAGTATCGAGTGTCATCGTTTGAGGAGATGTCGACCAAGCGCAGCTTTTTACGTAATGTGCATAAGCAAAATTTTCGATCGCTTGAAGAAGAGCGTCGCATTGATTCAGCATTCACTCCCGTTGTGAAAACCATTCATTCGCATCATCGAAGCTTTGATGCCAGCCATCGTAATATAAACAATTCGGAAAAGTTTAAGAAATTGACGCACGTCTCATTTGCCAGCAAAGTGTCGACGACACGTGAACGCCATACCGTATGGAAAAATAGTATTTTGGCACGAAAAAATAATCTCATCAAATCGAATGAATCGCTTCACGATTACAGTAATTACAGCGCATCGAGTAGCACGAATAGCAGCCCAAAATCAGCTCAAACCGAAATTTTCTACGATACCAAACTGCGAAAGCGTGTCAATTCGACCAATGAGCTGAGCTCAACGTATCGCACCGATATCGATGGACGATTTTCAATGCTTGCCGATGATTTAAAGTGTTTCGCTCGAAAATCTTGCTCAGAACGTTATTTACTCAATATGACCATGCTCCGGCAAACAACAATCACCAATGATTGCGATGAATGTGATGAAGATGAATCGAACGGTGGCGTTTCGCAGCGTTCGGAAAATGAAAGTTGCCTCGATGAAACGTGCAGCAATAGTTCAAACAGTGCATATGGTCATGTTACACTCACAAACAGCTCAACCAATTCGAAAACACCGGAAAATAATAGCACCGATTCGTCGCCAAGTCATCGAAGTATGTGCAAAATTATCGGTGGTATTGATGTGGATAATCGACACATTGAGGAAAAGATTCCATTGTTAGACGGCATGGAAATGTCACCGATGATCAGTCCAGTAGAAAATAATGAAATGTTGTGATATCCTCAAGTAGAATTGTAAGAAATATGAACAGCGTGAGGGTATACGTGTGAAAGGAAAAATGAGAAACATGTGAGAAAAAGACGTAAGGAACGTGAGGATGTGTAAGAAAATAGGAATACGTGTGAAAATGGAAAATTGAATGCGATAACGTTTTAGCGGTGATTTATACGATAGGATTTTGGCGACGAATATGACAAAGATTTATAGCAATCTAACACACACATAGATACACATGAAATGGTCCAAGATGAAGGATTTTAATGGGAAATCATACAAAATGCAATCCAATAGACACCTGGAAAAATATCTCTTATCAAATCAATATTCATTTTGTAAGCACAGACTCAACGCTTCTCACACATTCGCGTAACATTTTCAATTTAGAGCAACAACCAAATAAACCGAGTTTATGATCAAATTTCAGTTTAGAGTTCATTTCAATGGATTATTGTGTAGCTTTATTGACACAAATCAATGGAAACAAAGAATATGAAAATTTCTGAAAATTTCCAAATTATAGACTTTTTGCCCGTTTAGAATCAAAAGACGAAGAAATCATAAATCCCATTAGAAGGTTTGTTACAATAAATATTATCTACAACTACTACTACTGAATCAAAAAGACTTGACCTTTTATCGTTTGTATAGGATTTAGAATTCTTTTACCCTGTTTTTTTGGTCTTTACAACAAAAATAAAAGCAGAGAAAAAAAACCTATACACGTAAGAAATCAATTGGACAATATCGCATGGGACGGAAATTTGTGCATTTCTCTTTTAAAACTACACAAACACATTTTACAAAGGTCAAACAAAAAACCGATTCGAACAAAAAAAAAACGATTCAAACAGAAAAAAGAAATCAAATTCGAGCATGTACGGAGGCTAATCAATGAAAAGCGATTGTTATTCGACGAAGTTGTTTCCATCAACCAGAGTCTGTTTATTTCATATCGATATTTATGGAAATGAAACGAAAAAAGAAAACGTATTTTGTGCCGTCCTACGCAATTCAACAAATACTCCCACATTGAGTAGTACATACAAAATGGTTGGGTTTGTTTTTAATCGACGTTTTCAACCGCAACCATATGTGTATCACGCTCTCTCGTTCAGTCAAAAATAAACAAATAATCGATTTCTTGAGCTGTTCAAAAGACAAATCGACGATTGAATTGAAATTCGAGACGTTTTTTTCTTCAATGTCAATACATTTCCCTCGACATATATTGAAAGTTCATGCGTTCATTTTTTCTTAGTTAGCGTAGATGATTAGATATTCGCCTAATTCATGTTTCTTCTTTTTTTTCTAAATGACAGAGAAAACAAAATATATCGAACAAACTAGTGACAAAAACGGTAAATGTGTTCGTTGCTAAGAATATTCGTTCAAAGGTCAATTTACTTTATTTAGTGTATAATTAGTCATAGAGAAAATAATTGAATGAAAAAACCAAATTTTAATGTTGAGATTGAACGGAAAAATTATCACAGGTAGAATGGAGGGTGTGATTTAAGTTCATTCTATATATTCTTCTGGGTCCAAACATACACATAAGTTACACAGAGAGCAGAAAAAAGAGTGTATATTTAGAAAGTCTGTTGAACAAAAGTTCTTCTTTTGAGAAGATCATCTTGGGAGAAAGAGAAAAAAAGAGAAATTGGGAGCAAGAAAGAAAAAAGCAAACAAAAGAAGAAAAGAGAAGGAGAGGAAAAATAAAAAAGTACGTAAAAAATATTTATAAATTATATTCGAAAGGAATGAATTCTGTAGAGATGTTTTCGTGTGTCCATCAAAAATCGGATTTTGCCTGGCATTGTGTGAATATGTGCACGTGCAGCTATTGCAACCGAAAAAAAAGCGAACAGTGTTTTTATTTGACAATAAATTTTAACATTTTAAATAAGTCGAAATGGGAGAACAAAAACCACCAAAAAAAATCAAGAGTTTTAATTCAATCGTTTAACCATACAAAAAAAGACATTTGTGTGCAAAGTACGGACATTTTTAGGGTATAGTAAAATTTGATTGTTCTTTACATGCATCAGCGAATGAAATCGTTTTCTATTTTTTCTGCACATTCGGAACGATTTTCATTTCATGCACATTTAGCATTTGGAATGCAAATGTGGGATTTTATCCATTTGTTTACATTGTGACAGCCACTCGAAAATATATCGAGAGAGAGTGCTTTTTTTCTCGCCCGCTTAATCGATATATTGCAATTTTATCATGAGACGCTTTGTCTATAAATCGAAGTAAATAAAACTGCAGAAAAAAAACAACAGCAAACGCTTTCTCCGCTTTTAATTTATTCCGAACAAATGGACACATTAAATGCCCACGAGGATAACCAAATAATTAGTAACGATGCATTATTTATTGCTTCGTTTTCTATATACGACTCTTTTTTTTCAAACATGATTGACAGACAAATGCCAAAAAACGATTGATAATTTCATGTGGCGACAGAAAATTGTTTAATAGTCCCATAAATATGTTAGCCGATTCACGAAAATCGTAGCTCAATTCATGCAAATAAACAAAAAAAAAAATCACAATCAAAATACCACGAGACAAAAATATTCAAAAGAGAAAAATATTTAGTAGAAGTAATTCAATCACACTGATTCAGTATTTCTAATTTAAACCATAAACCCAAACCAGAAAAAAAATACATGTACAGAAATACGGCATTCTATTGCTGCCAATGTAATTGCTGCCCTCGATATTATCAGCCAAACTCAAGCATTCACCTTATTTTATCCAATACAGAGTAAAAGAGAAAAAAAAATCCAATAAATATTTATTGCATCAACAACAACAACAATTAGAGCCCAATGTACTTGAATAAATAGAGGAGACTTACAATATAAACATAACGGTTACTGATAAAAAAAACAACAAACTCAAGCATATAGGAATAGCCGACAAATTATTGAGACAGAGTCAGAGAGAATTATTTAAACAGAGTCTGTATTTTATTCCCAGAAATGTGTGCAAACTAAATGACAGCCCAATGACTAAACCAAATACAAAAATAAAATAAAGAGAACAATATGGGTTGTTTAAACATTTACTGACATATACTAACGAACAAACTGAATTACTGAAAATCCATCTCATATCACACAAAAAATGAATCATAGTCAATAAAGGAATAAAGCATACAACAATTGAATCAATTCCGTTTGTTTCATTCAATTTCTTCTTTTCTGAAATGTTGCGGTTTGAGGTGAGTTTTCAGGCTAGCGGCTCTTGACTTTTCCTCCATGAAAATTGATGTCGTCACTTGGATAAATGCGTACGTGCATAATTCCACATGTAGCTGGATTCAAAACATTGCAGAGACGAGAGTGAAACATACAATACGGGGAAAAGTAAACAAACTCTTTTCTGGTGTTGCCACACATACACACATTCCGTCGTTTCAACGGTACAAATGAAACGGTAGGAAAGAAATTGTATGAAACGCTTAATCTCGGATGACAGTTCGGCAATTTCGGTGAAAAGGTGACGTTTTCATTATTTGGTCGAATTGAGAATTGTTTTCACGCAAATCGACAGCCAATTACAATAATTTGACCAATATTCTCGCAGAATACACTTGAATGAATGCAAAGCGGATTAAACGAACAAGAAGAAGCATTTATAATTTAAGATAGAATAACATAGAACATGGATACCAAATTAGATGTAAGTTTTTTCTGTATAAAGTGAAGTGCTACGGTGAATGAAGAAAAAGAAGATTCATTATTTGTTTATTGCAATTTGTAGATTTACGATGGAGACGACTACTCGTTGGAGGGCGATATGTCAGTGCCTTCGGCACGAAGGAATACTTCACAGCCCGGCCAACCAGATTTTAACACACTTGACGAACCGATCAAAGAAACAATCGTAAGTACAAACCCCAACCACTGTACAATTAAAATGTGTCAATTGACGAAAGTTTATGCCCAATATCTGGTTCAATTCGATTACAGCTGCGTGATTTGAGAGCAGTTGGCGTGAAATTTTATCATGTACTATATCCAAAGGAAAAATCCACATTACTCAAAGAATGTAAGTAGATAGATAAGGTTTCTCCCTGAACTTGCCTATACAAAGAACAAACGTCAGATTGGATAACTGATAACATTTCTATTTGTAATGGATATTTGTAGGGGATTTGTGGGGACCGTTGATTTTGTGCACATTTATGGCAACGATACTTCAAGGCTCATCAGACGCTCAGAACGATGGTGGTCCCGAATTTGCGCAAGTATTTGTAATCGTTTGGATTGGTGCCATGATCGTTACACTTAACTCAAAACTCCTTGGAGGCAATATGTAAGTCGAATCTGCAAAAGGAGTCGATTGGCTCTTTTATGAGGAACATTTTTCGTGTGAAAAGAGATCTGGAACGTCCAGTTTGAAATTGTGTGCATTTCTTCTCATTCAGAAAACTGTTAACGATTCTTTTTCCCCCTTCAGATCATTTTTCCAATCGGTATGTGTACTGGGCTATTGCTTGGCACCAGTGGCTGGTGCTTTAATCGTTTGTAAAGTACTCCTCTTCGTTGAACAACAGAATTTTATATTCTTTCTACGGCTGGTGGCCACGTTAGTTGGCTTTTTATGGGCTTCGTATGGTAAGTTATTTCGCTATCGCACCATATTTTTATATGGACCTGATAACAACGGAATCGATTTACACAATCGCATTTTTCACTTTTATTTTAGCCGCATACATTTTCCTTGGTGACAGTCAACCGCCCAACCGGAAACCATTGGCCGTCTATCCTATCGTTTTGTTCTATTTCATTTTATCTTGGCTTGTTATATCGCATTCCACTGTCTAAACAAACAACAACAGAGAAAATTTCGTTATTATGTGTTATTAGTAGATAAAACTGTAAAATAAATGTGAATTAAGTCTGTCCGCGCATCATGAGAACAACTCACCTATATTTTATATGCTAGCGAATGAGCGTACGTGTGCAATTGAATTATAAACTGTAATGTAATGGAAGCACAATTCAAATTTCAATTCATTCCAAAATGCAGAAGGAAAGCAAATATAGTAAATTATACGAATTTTGAGCATTTTCTTTTATTATCATGTTGATATTATCAACGAAAATGGAAAAAAAATAAACAAAATTATAATGTTGATAATTGTCAACCAAAAAAACGTCTAAAAACGGAAACTAGTCAACCACTTTAATACTAGAATCCGAGTACGGATAGATACGATGTGAAGCCCCCACAACTACCATCAACACTTTCGCAATATTGCGAATTACGTTCGCATTGGCAATTTGGTAAACTACGTATTACAAATCGTCCGATGAAGAAAAGTGAAACGATCTGGAATTTGAGTATCACATTGGCAGACGAACATACGTTTTATTAGGTCGAAAAACGTCATAACAACGCAGACGCCATATTGGAATTGTCTGTTTTTTTTTCATGGTGTGTTGTTTTTCTTTCATTCTATCTCGTACACTTTGTGTTTGAGCGCTGCAGCTGTATTTCGCATTCAACTGAAACGGAGAGACGGAGAGAGAGCAGCAACAGCAGCAGCCATACACACAGTGAGCACTACGCTTGAAAGTGATTGTGTTTCTTTTGTTGATTAGACGCAGAAAAATAACAAAACAAAGAGAAACAATCGAAACGATACGACGAAGAAGGCAGAAATAATTTTTCTTGCAATTCAGTTGCAATAAAAAAAATTGTAAATTCTTGACACCAAAAATTCCATCGAATTCAAAGTGCAATTCGTGTAGAATTCTAGCGTGAAATTTATTTTATGTGGAAAAATACAAAAATACGAACAACAACAACAGACGAGAGAAAAAAAAAACATATGAATTTAATGTGTGTGGAATAAAGTCGTCTATTTGACATTTTCAATTTTTAGTGCGTATTTAAAGCAGAAAGTTAAACAAAGCGAAACAGTGCATTGTGCAAGGGAGAAATAAAAATTATTGCAACCGAATAAAAAGTAGGAAAAAAAATTAAGAAAAAATTAATAAAATGACGGCCACACCACCAAAAAATGCAGAAGAATTGCTCAGCGATTCGTGGATCGAATTTAGTAATAATGGAATTAAAAGTCCAGGCCGTGTAACACCGTTGCCATTTACATTTGGCGAGGAATATTTACGTTTGTTGCGCGAAGCTCAACGTGAATCAAATCAATCGAGTCGTGTTGTATCGTTGACCAGTTCGAGACGTGATACGCCAAAAGAAAGCCCAAAATCACCGCCAAACAGCCCAAATTTTACGGACGAAGAATTGCGCGGTGTCTATGTGAACTATTGGAACAAAGAAGGTGGCGAATATGTGAATTTTAACAATGCCGATTGGATTTGGGAATGGAGCAGTCGACCGGATCAACTGCCACCAAAAGGTTGGAATTTCCAGCATCCGCGACGGCGGCCTGGTTATTCGATGCGTTTGGCACGCGTTGGCAATAATTCGCTATTTTCACGTGAAGTCCTCTATTCGTTGTTGCTCACAAATGTATTGTCGTTGATCATTGGAGCTGGTGTTGGCGTTTGGCTGAGCAAACGTGGTGTTGGTTTTATCTTTGGCAATATCACACAGTTAGAATGATTAATCGCCAATGATGTTTATGTACTAGACGATGACATGAATTTTATTTGAAATGCAGCCGAGCGTTGCGCGCATGCAAGAATTTTGCCCACATCATAAAAAAAAATACACACAATCAAAATGAAAAACCATCGCAGCAAACAGTATACATCCAATTGCATTTCCAGCTGTTCATGCCTTCCTCAACAGACAACGTACTGACCAAAAAAACATCACGCACATCAAATGCTGGGCTTGATTTTTTTATTCGCTAAAAAATCATCTTTTTTTGTCAACTTTAAATAGATTTCTATCCGTAAACACACAATATTTCTATAATATATATTATATATTCAAAATAATATCCAATTCATGGTGATGAGAGCTAAACAGAATGGAACAGAATTTTATACGATTTAAATAGCTACGCAGATTAAGTGCATAAGATTTTTTAACCGAAAACAAAAACACATTTTGCATTCATTTTTTGTGAAAGATGAACAAACGGCTCGTTTTAAAAACACGAGCAAACAATTTTTTTTGAATATATTACAATTTTCTCTCAATTTTTGCAAAAGAAAAGAAAAACGAAAACAATCGAAAGCTTGTCCTTTGATAACAATATACTTTTTCCGCGTTTTTTTTTGTAACCAATTTTTTTTGTCTTGCACGATAATATTATAGATTATATATACACAAACACACACGCGAGAGAAAAAACGATGGAAAAAACCATGAAAAAACTCTTTTTACTATTTTACAATTTTTAGTAGTTTCAGAGAGTTTCAAGACTTAAGCGTGAAATTAAATGAGAAACAAACAAAAACAAAAAAGAAAGAAAGAAAACTAGAGAAGACAACCTAAAGAAAATCAAGTGTCGAATATAATGGCAGACTCTTTTGCCACTTAGAGAAAATTGATTGATTGATTGGGTCAATAATCGGTTAATAGATTGATAAATGTATCACGTTATTTATATAAAACTGCAACATATATTTAGATCTAAGCAACTGAAATGTGAAACAAAAAAAAAATTCAAGAAACAGAAAGGAAAAAAATGTCAAAAAATCTTGTAGGAAATTAGACGAAGATGTCTTCTTTTTTTCGTTTGGTTAAATCCCATGCATTATTATTCAATGTTATAATTTTGTTTATAAGAAAACCAATTTTTTGATCTTATTCTTTTTTTAATTGTGAAATAAAGAGTCCAAAATCGAAGAAAACAACCAATTGTGTATGTTGTCATTCGATTTGTTTGGTATTTTGCTTTTCACACACATGTAACCGGAAAAAAATGGTGAAACAAATGTGAGGGACCTTCAAATACTCCGGAATTCAATGCTCCGCCGCTTATAATCTCGACAAACATATATTTATCACATTTGAGCAAAAGAAGAAAAAAACGAAGTATATACAACACACGTACAGGCAACAACACAATTGTGTGCACTTGTCGCTGATTTTCGCTTTTTTTTTGCGTATCAAAGTCTACTCTGCTTGCAGCATGGTTGTGAGTGTGAACGAAAGCTATACAAGCGGCGTATTCTAACTGAATTACTTATTAATGCTGATTTTCCATTAGTCTTTTTTTGCTTTCTTTCTTTCTGTCGAGACTCCGTCGACGTGACATTTGTCTCGTGTTTCTATTTTGCTAGTGAAATCGCGAATTATAAACTGCCCGTGCCATTAAGACAACCGCATATAACCTTTGAAACAAAGGAACTGTAGTATCACGCTTTTTCACACATACCACCTTTACACCCACATCTATCATCCAAAAAAAAATAACACCGTTGACGAGTCTCTCACACTCCCGCACGAGAGTGTTTAAAAAAATTGCGTAGTGTTCAATTATAATTATAGCTCTTGTTGTTATGAGCCGTACTTTGTAAGACAACAAACAATTAATTTCCATAAAGACATAATTGAATCGAGTCGTATCAAATGCATTTAGCGTCGTCGTCGTCGTCGTATCAAAACTTCCGCACTCTTCCCACACGCTGTGAGCCGTCTCTATCTCGATCTTGTGTGTGTTTGGCGTGAAGGCTAATTGAAGCGCTTTGTTAATGCATCGAATTGCATTCGTACACAGCGTGTACGTTTCTTAAGCAAACGGGCACTCACTTCAAAACAAAGAACACCTAAGTCTGCCATGCAAACAAATATTTACAGGAGTCTCTTTCGCTGCTTGGTCGTTTCAGTCGACCATTAAGCAATATCAATGTTGTGGTTTGTGACGACATTCGCAGGAATTACTTGTTTTTGTAGGCATTGTCTACTAGGCAACGACGAAGACAACAACAGCAACAGCGACTACCCAAACGCATGACACAAACGCTGTAAACACATAAAATATATCAGGTTCTTTTCTCATGAGGAAACTTTTTACACACTGTCTAATAGAAATGATTTTTTGTTGTTGCTGTTTCCATTAATCGACTTTCTTCTAAAATTACGTCGCAGTATATTCCCCGTCTTTTGCGGGAGAAATGCGTTTTTGCTTTCGCTCATCATTTTTCTGATGGCAAATGCTGTTTACGTCATGCCCAAATCAATCTACGTGATTAACGTCCACGACGCGAGCGCGCGCGCGCGCTCACCGATTATATTTTGTCAATACAGCAATAATCGAAAAATAGAACCAAGTTTTTTTTTTTCAACACTTGCCCCTGACTGGCTCATTCATTTTACGTAAGAAATAATAGGAAGAAAATAGAATAAAAATGACGTTATTGAAATTTCAAATTCAAATCCGTGTTTTTTTTTCTCGCTCTATTGCCATTTATTATTTTCACCGTATGTGCAGATACAAATATATGCTATTCAAATATTAGACTCAATGGCTCAATGAATTACAAAGTGTGAAAATCTATTGCTTAAGTTACGTTCACGTCTTGTGTTTGCTCGATCATCAGTTGTGCAAAAATTTCAATACAAACAATGGAAAAATTGGATTCTATACGAAATTCTTTCAGTAAAATTTGATTACGGTACATCAATACGGTTTGGTGTCTCTCTTTTTGTCGATCAAAAAAAAAATTCCTTATCGGCTACAAGTTATAAATAAATACACCTATATATACAATTGACATGTCTACCTACTTATGCGGTACAAATAACAATGTGCAAAATAGAGAAGCAGTTCCTTGTATATATGTCACGGTTATATTTTCCTAAAAAAAAGTCCGTCATCCAAAATGATATGCTATTTAGATTCCTGAATACTTTACAATTTCAATAAAAATGTGTTTTTTTCCTAAACTCGGGCGAAATGGTACAATTTTTGAATGGACTATGTAATATCGAATAAGTGGGTTTTTTGTTGTTGTTGAGTTGATGCATTTTAAAGTGTAAACCATTTGATGAGTTGAATCAATTTATAGAGATTGACCCAAGGAAAACGCCAAACGGGCTTGATCGACTCACGATCGAAATCGTTCAGCAAATGTTGTGGCAATGTGCTGGGGTAGTTGATTTGAACATTCAAATCGCAGTTCGTGATAACATCATCATCGAAATATGTTTTTGGCAGTCCTAAAACTCCATTGCAATTGACTAATTCCAACTTTTTGTCGAAACAGATTTTAATCTCCGATAGATACTGTTCGCCAGTATGGTGTTTTTCGCGAACACAGTGAATCGATGGATTCGTATTTGTTGCACTTTTGATCGCATTGTGAAAGTCAACGGCATTGTATTGTGATCCGGGTTCGATGCTGGATTTCGAAAGCAATTTATTCATCGTGTATTTTTGAAGCCATGTCAAACCTTGTCCAAAGTACTTGTTCTCCGTGCTCAACTCGGCCAAAACACTGGCACATGTGCCGTGCTTAAGCCACTCATGTTGCCATAATGATGCTTCAGGTGTTCCTATTGAGATAAATTAATTCACTTTTTATTATTTCAGAATTTTTTGAAATTTTCAATGGATTTGTTTTCTTTTTGCTGCAAATTTTTTTTCATCTTGCATTTATCAGTATACAAACCATTCTGATTTTTCTTACCTTTTTCAATATTAATCCAATACTGTTTCATTTGATCCATCAGCGGTTCTAGTGTATTAATATCGAATGGTGCTGAATCATTACAAAAGAACGGGCCCATGGTTCGATATTTGGTGGGCCAAACACCATGGATGGTCCATGTGTCTTTTTGCGATGGCAAAATGCACACATGATCGTTTCCCTTATTCATCCAGGTCATACAGTCGGTGATGGGCCATCTCTGGGTAAAAATCAGTATGTCAAAATCATTTTTCGAACGCGTCTCATCCCGGTTGATTTCTGACCTGTAAAACCAGATTAAACAAGATTGAATGAAAAAAATATTCCATTTTGCATAAAGTGCCATCGATCAAATATTCAAAAGGTCGCTGAATGGAAGAAAAAAAACAAAATACCGCTCTCTGATAACTTATCACACTTGAAGCAGTCGTGTGCTTTGATCACTCATGCAATTTTTTTTTTCATACAGCATACAAGGCTGACGCGCAAATCGAACACACTCATCAAGTTTTTTGACACGAGACTTCTGTTTCGTATTAATCGTTCGATGTCATTCCTTTTTTGGTGTCGTCTTGCATTGTGAAACGTATTTTATGGTAACGTATGACAACAACAAAAACTGTAACATTTTTGAAAAAATTGGACTTTTAAACTATTAGAGGAATCCTAAGAGTTCTACGTGTGTTATATTTGAGCTTAAAAAAATGTAGCACAACGATAACAATTGACTGAAATAGAATTCGTATCAAAATTGAATAATCTAGTAACTCAACGTGTGGTTTCTCAGTGTCCTACAACTCGTAATCACTCGATAATAATTTATTCATGAAATATTTGAGTCAGCAAAATTGGCTGGCAATTTTTTTCTCGGTGAAATTTCTATTTTCATGGAAGAGATACTAAGATTTCAGTCATTGAATTTGAATAAGAACAATATTTTTATGGACACTTATTGATAGAAAAAATTCTAAGAAAAAAATCTAGGTAAAGGCTTAAACCATGTGAAGCCGAACAAATGATTTGAATTTTTTTTCTCATGTTGCTTTACATAATCGCTTTCGCTTTAAATTTGTGTCACTCTACTATGTTTTCCATTCAGCTGAAGTCAATGAATTTTCGGTGTTTTTTTTTCTTCTCACAATCAATTTATATTAAATTGTAGTTAAAATGCTATTTACTTACCCAATGCACGATTTTATACACAAAATGCTGATTGAAATAATAAAAACACAAAAATCGGCCCGTCGTTCCAATACCATTTTGGTTGACGTGTTTCCAATAAATGATGTATCGTTTTACTTGGCCAGTGCAAATAACGACGTTTCAGTCAAGTCACTGGGATTTTTTTTTTGCTTTGCGATAAACGACACTTGTTTATCTAAAATTATGACTGAATTAAAACAAAGTTTATCAATCAAAAGAATCTGTAAAGTGTGTATTTCAGTAAAAACAACAATAAAGGCAATGAAGTAAACATACTAGCAAGCCCATATGCATTGAACTAGCGTCAATTTTAGGCTTAGTTTGAGTGTATTTTGAATAGTAAACGTCAAACACACTTTCCGAATCTAGTTTAACATCAGGTCACTCTATTCTGCGTAATTTTCCACCGAAACAAAGTGTTATCGTGGGATATTCGGCATGAATAGTTTGTGTGTGGAAATGATGACATAAAAATTGGGTATGAAAAAAGAATTTGCTTGAAATTTCGCAATTTCCGAGAGAAATTGATGTCATTGTCCTTCAGTCTTATGATCTTGAAATGAAACAAAGGAATAAATTGGAATAAAGTCGATTCAAAGTAATCAGTACAATTCAGCGCCACCTTGTTGTCAACGGAAACATTCTCTATTGAGCTCCGGATGTATACATGTACGTAGCATACAATGTATGCTACAAATTATGTTTTGAATTATTAACAGTAGTTACATCAAACACATCATGAAAGAAAAATCTACCAAGACTTAAGGTTTAATTAAAAAAGATTTTTAATTGATTTTGAAAATTGCAAAAACTGAAATTCTTCTTGATCGTTGGTATTTATTTTTGGCCTCTCATCACAAGCGGTGAAGTAAATATATGAAAGTCAATTACAATCAAAATATACAAGATTCACGAATGAATCCGTTTTTTATCTTCGTAATGAAGAGTGTTCAATTCAAAGCAGCATTTTTTCTGAATTGTGAAAGGCAATTGTCTTATTTCAACGTTAGTTTGGTCCACGATAAATGCCAGTAAATAAAATTTCGTCAAATTTTTCATCATGAATTACAAATACGAATGGGTGATCACAATTAAATTCGACAAGAGTAGGTGGACGATAGGCCATGCTGCATGGAAAAGTAATCATAGCGGTAGCTGCAGCAGCTGTTGAACCTGATTCATCAACTTCAATTTTAGCTTTGTGAGCCATTCTTACTTCATACTCCTCCGGCAGTGTAGATTCAAAGGAGCCACTGAAATTTGCAGTTTTGTCAAAAAAAACTTTGAATGCCCATATGTTGCACTGCCTATTTGAAACCGAAATGCGATGAAAACAAAGTAGATTGTCAATGACCAATGGGAAAAATTCAATGAAAATCAATAGAATTTTCCTTTTTAAGATACCTGTTCCAGTTCAGATCTTTGTTCAAACGAAAACTTTGGAAATGAAACGGAAACCCTAGTTTCCCAAGTTTCAACAGTACCATTGAACACATCGTCTAAAATGGTCGGGGTTAACTCTTCCAACAACACATCAATCGCTGTTCTGCTGTTATCTGGCAAGAATATGTACATTGAAAATTTTCACCTTTGTATGGCATTCCCAAGACTGCTGTAGCCAAATGTTCGATAAAACCTGAAGCAATGTAAATGCAATTATTATTTTTACTGATGACCATTTTACATATGAATTTTATGTTTACCATTGTTAAAGTACCCCAATTGATGCATCATATCCACATAAGTCTCTTCTACACCATGCTTATAGAATTTTGCTCTATAAGTGTTTGGTTTTTTGAATTCTGACACCTAAAAATGAACGTATCCTTATTAAAATTCACTTTCTCTCATACAAACAACACTAATCACATACCCAATCTCCTTTGAAATATACTGCATTGATGATAGCAACCTGTATGTTCATTGTATCCGCATCCAATTGAAGAATATCTTTGATATTATTCTTTGTGATATTTTCAACAAATTGGTTAATGTGATCAACTGATTGAGCTGGTTTCATAAAGAAATTGAGTCGCTCAATGTTTTCGTTCAGTAGATTTTTCGCCGAATCTCTGCAAGTGAAAAAATGGTTTTTTAAATTATAGAAAGACAAACCGTCAGCGAGAGTAATGGAATTCCATTTAAATAATTTTTTTAAACACAAATCACGGTTGATACTAATTTTGCGACAATTTTTTTCCGTTTTCAATTTTGGTGAAAAAAAATGAGATAAATTGTTTGACTTACTTGATGTTGACTCTGTCCGAAAAGAATAATTTATCAACTGAAATGAATTCAACGGATGCATTTTGGAATGGTTTGGCCTGTGCGTCTTTCTCCAATTTATATGCATTTTCAATGTCCGTTTTGTTTTTGGCCCATTTCATCAATCTCAAGACATTTTCGAGCTCTTTCACTGTCTTACCACCAGCACCAAAATAATTTAATAACAGTGCCCGGTATACACTTTTGGGTGAATAAAAAACATTTTCATTCGGCTTGTTCTTTTGTAAGAACCAATATTATTATACAAATCAGCGATGATTTTGTCTTATGTATCGCCATTTTTAATTTTGGCACCTTTCTTATTTTGGGTACCTTTGAACAAGATCAAATCTTCTACAGATTAGAATCTGTAATATCTGTCTTCGTTCACTGGGGCGACGCAACTGGGGATATACAACTGATCTCTCTTGTTTACTCAAAAAAATTCAGTGCCTTACTTATCCTGTATATTACTTTTTCACACGACCATGTCGTGTAAGAAAAGTATTGGGATCGCCCCAGATTTTTTAACCCACTAAAAATCGTTGTTTTAGCGTTGTTTTAGGGTCGTATGGTAGGTGTATGGTACACTGTACGCAAAAAACAAGATAAAAATAGTAACTCGTTTGCAATAATCTCAGCTTTTATGTGAACAACTCGAAAACACGGTAAATTTTTTGCTATGTCACAATGTATAAAAAACAGAGTATTGGAATCGCTCTGATATTAAGGCCTGATTAAAATATGATTCTTTCCCAATTTCAATGCATGGAGAATTGGATTTGATTGGAAATTATATGTTTGGGAGTGTAGAAAAGTTAACTTTACGAATGTAAGGCATCTTCTTTTAAATGTAGTTTCTTCTTCAACTATTCTACCTGCTGCTTATGGACATTAGAAAATGTTACTATTTCTCGGACCTTTTACTGAAATTCTATTTCTTCTTTGAAAACACCTATTTCTGTGCAAGCGAAAAAGAACTAGAACAATAGAAAAAGAGAGAAACAAGAAAAACAAAAAAAGGTATATTACAGCGAAATTTCCAGTACTGCCATCACAGTGGCAGCATATGAGTTCTGTTGTTTACGAGAAACTTATCCTGTGAGTTATGCCTTTTGTATTCGCATATTCAATAGGAAAAAAAATAAAGAAACAAATTTTCTTTCATTTTACAATAACATTCGTTTATTGCCGTAAACATTTTAACATTGGTAATATTTTGAACTAGCTGAAAACGTTCTCTCAGTATTTGGCAAAATTCAAAATCTAAACCAAATTGCACTTTTTGACAGATTTTCCCAAATGATGCGCCAAATTGACTTTGATAGTTTGCCATCTAGATGTTTCTGCAAATCCTTTGGATAAAAAATCGATTGACCTAAGTAGCAATTCGTAGTATAGATTCCCAAAAGCGATGAATTTCTCGTTAGATAATTGTGACAATCAACTAGTTCCAATGTTAAGCTGAAGCATATTCTAATTTCATGCAGATATTGGTGTTCACTCGGATGGTTTTTCTCGCTGGCACAGCTAATCACAGCACTGACATTAATAGCACTTTTAAAAGCATTATGAATGCTCGTGAAGTTGTATCTTGCTCCCGGGGAGATAATCGATTTTGAAAGGAGTTCACTTATTGAATAACGCTGCGACCAATCTAAGGCCTGACCAAAATATTTCACTTCAGTATTTAGTGAGTCATGAGTGTGCGCGCATGTACCATGCTTTTGCCATTCATATTTCCAAAAAGCATCGTGTTGAGAACCTGCCAAGAAATAATAGGATAAAGAAGAATGAATTGGATAACATTCTGATCATATGGAAGCCAAAAGCAAAAAAAAAATCTTTTTCTTTACCTTTTCGTATATTTGGCCAGTATTTCTCCAACTCATGTCTGAACGGTTCCAAGGTACTAGTATTGAAGGCACTACTATTACTACAAAACAAAGGTCCATAAGTTGGGCCGATTTTGTTGGGCCAGATGCCATGAATAGTCCAATTATCATGCGATGGCAGTGAACAGGCATTACCATTTTCCCTATCCATCCAGGTAATACAGAGTGTGATTGGCCATGCTTGGGCAAATACCACTTCATCAAAATCATTTTCCATCGATTCACTCCGAAGGTATTCCAAACTGCAATTCAAGGTTGATGAGCATTACGTGAAATTGAAATGTGTTATGAGTACAGATACACGTATGGCTGAATAGAGAAAACAATCTGTATCTGTTTGGTTCTGCATTTGCTTTTGAAATAGACTCATCAACGATTGCAACAGACAACGTCAAATAGAGCAAACAAGACTACACCAAAGACATCAATTTTTCCCGTGATAAATATTTTGCATTATTCTTTGCATTGAATTTAAAAAAGTACTCCCTCATTACTACTGTGTACTAGACAAAATGTTAAAAAATCTTACAATTGGGACACTCACAGCGATCACATCAGATGAAGCTGTATAAATGATTTGATAAGATCTTATCGGTAGTCAATATTTTATTCAACAGAGAGAAATATTTTATTGGAAAAAAAAATCGTTGCATAATATAAAACGCGTTTTTTCATTCCTTCATATTTTGCATGTCTACTCTGATTCATTCATCGATATAAAGTTATGAGTCAGGACCTGTTTATAAGTGTCGATTATTCAGCACAAATTCAACTCAAAACAAGTTACTGAAAAATTTGATTCAAAATCGAATTCAGCCTTCTGGTGTAATTGAAATATTAACAAGAAAAGTGATGAAAACATTCCGTTTAATATAATCAAAACAGATTTTATATTTCAACGACCTAGATTCGTGCGAAAATTATCATGCATAGAAAATAGTCATTCGGCTATATGAATTTTTGTAAATTACGTAAAAGAGAGATTGATTTTTTCTAAAGTGTCATCGATGTTCATTGAAATAATTGTTTGATTTAAAGCAAAAATGTAATCATCAATTTGGACCCATTAAAATGACTTTAGCTTACCTCATGTACGTTCTTGTACACAAACCGATGAATAAAACCATAGACACACTCACATAATTCCAAATATTTAGCGTCATTTTTCACAACTATTATTAACTACTTGTGAGATTTCAGACACGTAAAATGTCACCTGCACAACTGATAACCATCTCAAACAAGTGTTTTATCTGCAGCATTCAAAGAATGTAAGAATATCACATAGTCAACCAATTCGCAACATTTATTTTTATTTCATGATTTACATATTTCAAATGAAGAACAAAGACCATTTCTGTCGGTCATCGAACTAATTTATTGCGAAAACAGGAATAAATCATTACATTCCGATGTAATAAATAACAGAGATAAACGCCATCTTTATGTGAAAACGTTGAATAAAGAATTTTACAGAGCTTTGGTTGAGTTCGTTAAAATGATTTAATTGAGTTAATGTCACAATTGATCATCGCCTTCGTATGAGTTTCACACTTATGATAAATTTGGGTTTTTTTTATCGCCACTGTGAAGTACCAAAGTATTCTCTGTCTGGTTTGGTAAATTCGTTGGTTCGCCGAAATCGTCTGGTCGGATGAGCGTATGGACTCCAGAACGAAAAATCCTTTGACTCATCGCCGTTCACGGGGAAATTTCTTCGATTCTGCTCATAGTTTACCGAGTCAGGAGCTTCTTTGCATCCCTGTAGGTCTTTGTCGCTATTCACCGGCAACGGAGCTAGTCCATCTTTCAAAGCCTCAGCAAAACGATCAGCCAACACTTTTCTTATGTACTCTTTACGTGTTTCGATGGGCGTCTGCTCAAACTTAACATTGTCCATTTTGGTAGCGATTGTTTTGCGTTAGTCAGGTGAACGGCAACTGTTTCTTTTCGTGACAAATCTACGACTTTTTTTTCAATGTTATGAGTAAAACCAAATAAAAAAATTCCTTTAAATAGACACGGCCTACTTTTCCTTTTATGACTCTATTTCGCTACACGAAAAATGACGTTATTCAAGTTTTGAACATATGGCGTTTGGAAATAAATGACAGTAAAATGTTTATCCAAAATAAAATTTCGTCTTCTTCTCCATTTATTTCGATGGAAGTGTCGATAAAAGAGTTGATAGAAGCATTTGCTGCATGGAGAAACTATTCTACATGCACAATTGCTCAATTTCTTTTAGTATTTGCACAAATGGCAATGGCTTTTGCGGTAGGAAATTCTCAAAAGTAGATTTTCACTTAATATCCTTTCTAAATTGCGTGTATAACGCTTCCATACGCCAATTACCTTTGTGAACGAATCATTCAAAGATGTGACGCGCACTTCGAACGGAATGGAACATTAGTTTGCTATAATTTGTCTTGAAAATATTAAATCATATTACGGAGTAAAAGAACGAAAACATTTCACATTATAATAAAGTGAGTTTGAACTGCAGTGCAAGTGTAGGATTTTCCATCCACGCATTGCGCAAATTCGAAGAACTGATGCTGGCTAATGAATTACAAGTAGGAAAAATCCATTCCACGTAGAACGTTCAAAAATAGCATTTTCGCTATTTATAGATATATATACATACGCATATTCTTTGTTGAGATAGAGATCGCTCAGCATATTTACCGTGAACATTTATTTTTATTCGCACGTGTTCCATTGATGAAAATATGTTTACACAGTGAATATCTGGTCAATTCCTGTGATTCTATTCAAACATTCATCTCATCCGGTGTGCGTGTGTGCACATTAGGGTGTTTTTGATATCAGTCGAATGAAAAGTGCCTATTTTTGATATAAAGAGCACCGAATTCTGCGTACATTGATGACATTAACACAACACATCGATTGCTATTCACACTTCCCGAAGCAAAAAATATGTGTAACAAATACTTTCATCTCCATTTCGTCGATGTTAGTTTCACATCAATTCTTTAAATTCAGATCATCGAACAGGAAGTCAACTCATTCCTAATATACGCTTCATTTCATGAAATAAACAAATGTTCAACGGAACGAACATATTATTTGTTTATTTTTCCAGTCCAGCGTTGTGCTGCATGCGTACATTCTATATTTAGGACGAACACGATGCCGCCGGTTCGTTGCAAACACATACAATAAACCGTTTCACGAAAAAAAAATTCCATGCGAAACACCAAAACACAGATGTGATTCAGTTGACCACAGTATGAATTCAATGTGTTGTTTTGGCAAGGAACAATGGCAGTTCACAGTTTTAACGCTGCTACTGTGTCGATTGCACGAAAAATGGATTTAGCCACTGTGGTTTCTGTTTCCGTATTCATTTTTAATGAAAGATCAGCAAAACTAGTGATAATCGTTTGTTCTTTTTCCACCGTAAGACAGTGAGTGTATACAATGGGACGATTTTGTGTGCTAAAAAAGCAAAGACATGTTTGCGGCGAATTTTGTTCATGTTACCGTTGTGATACAAAACTAACTGGACATTTGCAAAGTGGCACTGCTAACATTTTGACACAACGAAATTAGCGGATCATTTGACAGACTCGGTGACATCGATGAGTCGATGTGAATTTCATCATACGACCGCAACGAAACACAACGAAGCGAATCGAATTCAGTCAGACGAGTTGCATTGCCTGCTGATGTAAGACGTGACTTTGATACACTTTTCAAATTACAATTTCTCTTTCTGTTTCTTCGGTGTTTTCAATTGTTTTTTTCTTTTCTGAATTGCATTTTCAAGTGGATATATCTTTTTCATATTTTCTATAATTGTTTTTTGTTGTTTTTTTCTTCTTTTTTTGATTTCATTTCAGCCAAAATGCCGAAGAGAAAGGGTACACCACTTCGCGGTAACCAGCGGAAAAAGAAGAAAATAGTCAGCAAAACGGGTATTGAAGGAGAAATCGGCATTCTAGCGATAAAAATGACATTGAAGGCTATCGTTCGACCACAATATTATCAACAAGTGAAAGATTGGTTCACCCAAAAGTCGATTGAATGCACCAAAATCTGCGCGTTAGCTTCGCTGCTCTTCCTGTACAAAGTTAAGAGTGCCAACGAAAGTAATAATGCGGACTTCTTCAGTGGTGATGGCAACAAGGAAATTAAGGATTGTTTTTATGCAGTTTTACAAAAAAACAAAGAGAAGGAAGAAATGGTTCCAGATTTTCGTGATTTCGTGGAGAATATGGAGGCCGAAAACCGATTCAGTTGGCCGGGTAATAGCTTCTTCGGAAACCAGATGCAATACCTCTACAAGCAATACACCACGAATTTGCGCAACAATTTGGAGATGCATGCCGAAAGACGCCTGTACCAATATCTCATAATGCGTGCGTGGCAATTTAACGCTGTTTCAACTGGCCCCACATTACGCAACGATGATATCAAGCGTGCCGTGCAATGGACCATCGATCGGTATGATCCCATCAAAACAACCGACCGACATTGGGAAGTAAAGTGGGAGAAGCGCCAATTGCTTCTCGATATGATTGCGGAAATTGGCGGGCCAGAAGATAATGATGTCGCAATATACACAACATCGGAAGGAACATGGTTCAAATCAATCAACATGTGGTTGACTATGCAAATGGAGGTGGACAATTTCCACATTTGGGCTGAGGAAAATGGCATTGAAATTCCGAAGATCAAAAATCTCAAAGTCATTCCGATTCATCAGTTCATGCGACAGCACGTGAAAATGGAGACGGACGTTCTCATTCGAATGATGTCCGAAATGCGATTCAGATTACATGGTCTAATAATCAAGTACGAAATTGTGGAGGACCCCATGACGCAGTGTTGGGATGAGATTTTCGATATGCCAAAGATACATCGCCTGTTGAAATCAAACAAACGTTTCCGGCCCTACATTGCCTCGAATGGTCAAGCGGTATCCATTATGTACGAAGTACCGAAGAGTCACCTGGATCGTTTAGTAGACGATGAAATCGTGCGGAAACGGTATCGTGATGGTGTGTACGTATACGAGATTGGGATTGATCCCGGCATGCGTACCTGGAACGCGACAGTCAGACGGAATATCAAAACTGGCAAAGAGGTGAGTTGCATTTTAGTTTCAATTTGTGTTTGTGTTGTCTCAAATCGTGTGATTGAGTGCATTATTTCATTTTTTATCATTTTCCCACAGATCAACTTCACGGTCAGCTCGAAGAGGTACCATTATCTGGCCAGGCAGGGTGTTCGGGATAGGAAGGCAAAGCGATGGACAAGGCGATTTGTGGCCGAAGAACAGCATGACCGTGAACGCTATCAACGGATGCCATCGCCAAAAGGTGAAAATTGGGGGTCTTACATCGCACATCGTTTGACAATGCTGAAGAAAGGAATTGAGACGTATACAACAGAAAAATACGCCCGTCTGCAATTTGACAAATACATCCAATCAAACCGTGCAACCGATAAGATTGCTAATTTACTGGTAAGAATAGATGTTTTCATATTGGCATATTTCGTTAGTTGGGCGATTGTTTTGAATGAATAATGTGTTCTTTGTATTTTCAACAGACAAATCGCAAACCATCCATCATTCACATGGGAGCCGTTGATATGCCGGCGAATTCTCCGATCCGAATCAAGAAACATGTTCGTTGTCCAGGCAACCGTAAGTTGGCAAAGAGCTTCAGAAAGATTCCGAACACCGTCGTGCGACAAGTCAACGAGAACAGAACATCACAGCTTTGCGGTAGATGTTTCACCCCGTTCGACATAGCAACACAACGTGATCGAATGAAAGTATGCGAATGGTGCCTGCCAGATAACGATGATTGGCCACCAAATTTGCAGTTACCAACGAAAATCGTGTCGAAGAAGAGCAAGCGCACGCTGATAGCGGATCGACAACGAATGCGTGAAGCAGTGGAACAGGATCCAAATCAAGCTGAACGTTTTGTGTCTAAGGTGATTTCATACCAGAAAAACTGGCAACAAAGCGCAGCAATCGATGAGGACGCGGACCCTGCCGAGCAAGAGGATGCAGCAGAGTCACATGATCGTCGCATTTTGAAGACTTGTTGGCATCGAGACATCACTGCTGCGAAGCTGATCTTATACAAAGGTAAGTCATTGTGATTGAATTGGAATTGGATTCGGAATTAAAATTTAGAATGAAAGTGAATGAAAGTGAGAAAATATCGTACTAATAACTTATTTTTGTGTTTTTTTTTCTTTTCAGGCCACTGTCACCTCTTCGGAATTCAGCTGCACTTCATGTTCACAATTGAACGAATCAGATAGAATAAGAAATAAGAAATGTCAATTAGAATAGAATTTTTTCAAACAACATTTTTGTAATAGCGTATTACATACTGCTGGAGTCGACTTTGTGACCCAGAACTTGAAATGAGTCAGAAGAGCGTATATATGTGTTGATCGTTCCATGTCTAGTGGACTTTACGTGCTATATGCGTTATTTCCCATACACTCATTGAGAGATTGAGCACGGGGGGTTGATATCATTAAATGGGTGTCTGTTTAGTTTAAAGAGGAAACTTCCTGCACTGTTTGATGACAATAACACATACACAGCAATTGATAGTCAGACTTTACAACAGTTTTTTGTTTCGGGAAGTGTGAATAGCAATCGATGTGTTGTGTTAATGCCATCAATGTACGCAGAATTTGGTGCTCTTTATATCAAAAATAGGCACTTTTCATTTGACTGATATCAAAAACACCCTAGTGCACATATAGTTCATTAACACCATAAAATGATATTTCATAATTAATAATCTTTGCTTGATTTCATCTTCTTTTTCTTCTTTGCAAAAAAGCAAACGTAGAATGATTTGACGAAAAAAAAGCCAATTTAAATCGGCAGAATGTTTGCGGTTCTTAGTCAAATAATTTTATTTCTCAGTCACAAAGTTGACTTTGTTCAAAAAGAATATTCAATAAAAAAATTTAATTGGGCAGTTTTTTGTTCCAGTTCACACCTAGAATAGGCAAATAAATCCAGATGATTACTTTTTTTCGCTCATGAGCTTCATTTGTTGTCTTCTCCATAAAAAAGTTTATTGTTCTTGAATTCATAAAATTTGCTCTGGCATTTACTCTCTCTCTCTCTCTCTCTCTATCCCTCTTGCTCTCTTTTCACCACTTCAATGCACCGTTTTCTTCAGAAACGAGTTTTAAAAACATGAAATCACAAAATTTGACCTTGCATGAATTCCAACTTGATTTTATTGTTTTACTGCCACCAGAAAATAACAGCTTGATATCAACTTGATTCTATAAAATGTGGTCGTTTCAGTTGAAAAACGACATCAAAGAATGTTCCTTTCTTCTGAAACAAAACGAAAAAGAAGAGAAATGCAACTAAATCAACATCAATTTGTTTATATAAATATGTTGATACGTGGACGAATTGATGTATGACTGGCTAATTGATTAGAAAAAAGACCCAATTTATTTCAACCAAAAATAAATGGATTTCGTTCAAATGCTCATTCAAGAAGTGTTTGATATATTTATAGTGTGTCACCGAGGTGAGCATTTGTTGAACGCATATCAAACTGAGGAGGAATGTGCTTAATTTTGTCGATTTGTCTTGTCCGAAAGTCATGCGAATGTTTGCATTGAAATTCAAATTACTGTATCTGAGGTAGCGAACTCTTTATCTTCTTCTTCTTCTTCTTCTGGTCATTTCTCGTTAATTTAATCGCTTATTCAACGCGACTCATAATTTATCATCAAACAAAACAGCACAACATGTTTGTGGATCTGTGATGATATTACATTTAAATTGATGCAATAAATCACAGCTCACCTCTGGCACTTTTTTAAGAACCAGCCCAAAGACACAGAAAAAAAATGAAATAGCAAAGAAGCACAAAAGCAGCAGCAGCATTTTAATGTCGATCACATTATAAACTACTTTGTGAACGGGCTGAATCGCTGAAGTAACATCATACAAGTTATGGGAAAGGTATTCAAGCAAGTCTTGCGCGTTCGGTGGCACATTCCTCGCCGGCGATGTTTCTTTTTTTCCCCTTTTCTTTCTTACAACCAACTACAGAGTGACAAATGTTAAAATATTTGGCAGCTCGTGTGACGTCAACCAGCAGGCGGTAGTGCTTTGAATTCAAAATGAAGTACTTACAGTAGCCGAAAAAAAACCAAAACCGAAATAAATAAAAAGAACAAAATTACCCGAAAGCGATAATCAGCTCGTTTGTACAATATCAACGTAGAAAGCAATAAAAATGAAGATAACTCCACTTTTAATTGCTTACATTTACATTCCAAGAATTTGAAACTTAGCGCAGCATTTGTGACATGAATCACCCAACAAACCTACGAACATAAATTCAACAATTACCAATTTTCATTCGATACTAATCAATTCCATCCGAATTGAATGAAGTAAAATTAACTATCGCAATATGCAAATAAAACGGTACAAACGATTGACGAATTGAACGAAGAATAAAAAATCGGAAAAAAATCGTCCATTCGTATGACATTTTAGTGGATTTGAAAAGAATGAATGAACGATGAAAGAATGTCAAATGTTTAAACTAAATAATGCCATTGATTCTTCACGTGTTGCTAGGCATTTAAATCAATTTCACCGGAACTATTTTTCCATTAAAGTTGTTAATTTTATCGATACTTTCGAACGGATTAAGCTATAAAAACGACTCTTTATCGCCTGTGAAACTGTTTCTAATCTACTGAAGACAAAAAACTCACACATTTTGTAACGGAGATCAAACATCAAGCGTTTAAAAAAAAGCTGAAATGCTCTCACGAAGAAATCTGAAAAGTGCTAAAAAAAACCATCTAAAAGAGAAGAAAATAGTTTAAAAACCAGAACGAATGTGTTTTTTTTTGCAAATTTTTCTTTTATTTCATTTTTGCTGTGCTGAAATTTGATATCTATAAAGTGAGAGAAAAAAATCGTATAGAGAAAACGTAAAGAAAAGAAAAAATAAATGTATGAATCTTTCGAAGCGAAACTAAAAAAGACGAATACGATGCTATTGGTCACCACATAGAGTGTACTCCAACACGTGCCGGGTTTCCAATAATACCAGAGCACCTGATGAAGTACAATAGACATGGGACTAAATTAAAATATGCTCGCTAATCGCGAACGATGTGATCAGGAAATCAAGCTAAATCAAAATTGAAAAGAAAAAAAAATTAGATTAAGAAAACTGAAATGAAATGAGGCCCAAGAAATGAAAATGAATTATAGTGTAAGTTGAAAAATAAACAAACGTAATTAATTCGAATATACCTTGCATAAATTGATTAATGAGTTAACTAAGAAAAGATGAACAAAAATAAAATGCGAATCAGTTAAATTTCTGGTTGATGATGGTCTCGTGACCGTTTTTGTGTGTTAATAATCCGTCTCCTTTGTGATGTGTTGATTTCTAGTCTACGCGCGCTACTTCAGGTACCTGACTAGTAAATTTATTATAAATAGTCTCGTATAGTCGAAGCAAAAAAAAAAATCAAAGCCATGGTCCCTGCTTAGCGCGCGAAGCATAGAAGTGTGAGCTGTAGCATTATTTATTATATCGAGGCGCATTGAAGAGCGGCTGACAAAAAAAAAAACAAGAACAAAAACACTATGTTCACGATATCTAAATTCCACTGTAAACCAATTCAAACGAGTTCGTCCCGTTGAATGACTGAATGTGCTGGCTAGCACGCTGAGCTGTGTGCTTGTGTATATGATTCGTAATTTATATCGCATCTGTTCAAATATTATTAGTGAAATGAGTATGAGTTGAAAAATATACCAAAACTAAAACCGACTCGTTCTCCGTTAAACCGGATGCACGCTGCATCGTACTGCACTGCACTGCACTGCACTGTGTACTCTGGCTGCAATAGTCGATGGACACCAGATCTGTCGTGGAGAAGAAGATGAGAAGAAGCTAAAAAAAAGTTACAGCGAGCGAGAGAAGAAAACAGAAAAAAAATTGCATTTAATTAACAATGATTTGGGTTGGTCAAGTCTTTTTTCGCTACTTGGATCAATTACAAATGGTTTGAAGCAGAAGAAGAAAAAACTCAGTCAGAGAGCTACGTTATGATTATGTCAGACGTTTGTTTGATTTTGGGTTGTTGATTTTTTTTTTCGGATTTTTTTTTAGCCATCGATCCACTTCATCGGGAACGCCGCACAAAACTAAGTCGCCACAGAAATTTAAGCTGGTTACTAGCGCCGATCCACACCACATAACAGGTTTAGTACTTAAATGTACATTCGAAAATGCAAAATGTTCAGCGTAATAATTTAATGAATAGGCTCAGTGTATAAAGCGGTGTGTATATTCACAGGGTGCTAGCCAGCCACACACTCAGTATGTTGGGCTACATACAGCGGTATAGTTTCAGATGTATTATAATTTTTACTGAGCACTGCTTTCGACGCGCGTAATGGGCTTTTTTTCCTTTTTTTCGTCGTCTTCTTCTTCTCCTGTCGTCGTACCAAGTTAGATCGGAATATTTGTTTAAGCGTCGCGTCATCTCTACACCTACTTTTTTTCCTCTCTCTCTCTCGCTCTGTGTTCAGCATGCATTATTAGCATATCGTATTACAAAGTTTCACCGCATACCATTTTGTAATTCAAGCGATAACAATGTCAACCCGGCAACTAGCCGGGCTTGTGTGTACGTCGATGTTATATTTGATTGGTGTGAACGAAACGCCGTACATACATTTCGGTTGAAAGGAGAGTTCTTGTGTGTGAAATTAGTCTATTCTTAGGATTATCACTCAAGCGCCACAGAGCACAAAATTCCCGCACACAAACAGAAAAACCATTGCAGCTACTGTTACTTGCTCTTTTGAGATTTCTTGAAGAAAAAAATCGTCCAATTTAATTTTACGATTTAACGCAGTCTGAGCATGGACGATCTTGTAGACTTTTTGTTCTCGGAAATGTTCAATTATAAAAATAGACGAAAGAAGGAAACACTTTAGAACGAAGCGAAAAATTGAAATGTGATACACTCTAATAGCGCTTCACATGTGCATAAAAGTATGTCATAATCGCTAATTAAATAAACTGGTGGCTAGATTGACATCAAGGAGGACTGAACTCACATCTATTGTTATCTAGAACAACCACCAAATTATTTTTTCCATGTAAAGTTGTCCAATTAACGTGATTCTATTAGGTCGAAAACCATTAATTCCCCGTGTGAAAAATTTGTGACTGACTAGCCAGCCGCCTAATTCCGGACTTTTTGGCTGACTATTACTGACTAAAAGTGATTATCTCGAACGATCTCGAACAAAATATTCGACTGTAGTCAAGTTCAGTTATTGTCATCTAGTAG